GCGATCTGGTAGAAGTGAGTGATGGCATAAACAGCGGCGAAGAAACTTCCATTGAGCCACCGTCGTCGCTGCAGGATAAACTCGGCCATGCGATCCGGTACGTCCGTCTCTCCAGTGGCGGACTTGACGTACGACAGCACCCAGCGGCAGTTGCGCTTCGTCACAATCTCGAAACACAGGATCCGGTCTTCGGCCAGATACATGTTGGCAGTGAAGATACCGGCATTGGCGCCGTGCAGCTTTTCGCCCGCGAAGTACTTTTCCAGCGGCCCCTGTCCGTTCTTGTCATTCTGCAACGCAACATATCGATAGGCCGAGAAGGCACCAGGAAGCACCGAGATGAAACCGAACGCCGACTCCAATGGCTTGTCCAGGATATTGCTCATTTTGTATTCGAAGTTCTGTGTCGCCACCAGCGGATTGAGGAGTTTCTTGCCGTGCGACAGCATGACCTTGATTTCACCACATGCGCCGCCGCACATCGGCTCCAAATCGAAGGCTTTCCACAGGTGATAAATCGAGTCCCTCCCCGGTCGGGTACCAGCGTCAATGAGAACGCAGATGTTGGGTTCCAAAACACGGCCAAAGGCTTGGAAGAACCAACGGTGGGAGTTGATCTTCTTCTGGTTCTTCTCCTTCAGGCAGAAGATCATCTGGACTGGAGTCGCGTTGCGCGGTTTCAAATGCACCTGGGTGCCCTTCAATTCCAACCCCACCTGCGTCGTGTACTCATAGATGTGGGCTGTCACGTCCTTGCCGTTGACTTGCTGCTTTGCGATCCCGTCTTGGTACACCCCCAGACCCGCCAGAACCGCTCGAGTTCGAGGGTTGATCTTGGCACGGCCGTCGCTGATCACGCAAACCACAATCTTCTTCCAGGCCTCTTTCCCCCATGTCTTGCTGTTGGTCCGCGAGCACATATACTCAATGTTCTTGAATACTCCAATCAGAGTTCTGGCGAAGAGGAATTCGTCTTCGTTGTACATGGTGATGGCGATGAAGAGCTCCGTGTGTCGCGGTTTGGCGAACAGCTTCTGACGCAGGGTGAAGCGATCATTGTAGAAGTCTGCAGGGTCGCAGGTCGCCGCGGAATAGCGCATATGCGTAAATTCATCGCGTCCCGGAGGCTCTGCGTGAGGCACCTGGTTTAAGAGCTTGGGAGGGATGGGGCAGTCGAGCACCAGGTTTCCATTGAACAGTTGCACCTCCTTGACCGTTTTCCACCGCCGAATGGGGGCTGGACTTGGAGTGGGCGCGGGCTCGTCGTGGTACTCCTGTTGTCCATAATCCGGCGGCTCATATTGTTCATTCCCATATTGATTGTCGGGTTGCAGAATGGGAACGCGATCATCGTGATAGGGCTGCATGTTCTCTTGCGAAGGATACTGACCGAGATCGTAGTCTTCTTGAGGCGCTGTCGGTTGGTAGGGCTGAGTATAATAGGCATCATGGTGGTCCTCCGGGCGTATCGAATACTCGTAGTTGGGATAAGTGGGCTGATGGTGCTGCTCATAAGCCTCGTTGTGGCCGAATGAGTTGGTTATGCCCTCCACCGAATACTATTCCCGTATATCAGCGTCGCTCGCTTCAGAACCCACGAAACTCTCACAACAGACTCACCGTAGGCTGTGCGGCCAGACGGTCACTGGAGGGCATTTGAAGATGCGGCGGTTCGTAGGAGGTCTCGTGCTGGTAAGGGTGCACGTTGTCCAAGGGCCGTCCTGGGGACGGGGTGCGATTGTGCAATTGATGTGGATTCATCATGGGCGAATGGCTGTCATCATCCCCGTAGGGATCTGTCCAAGTTGAATGAGTCAGTTATACAACCAGTTGCGTTTATCAACTCGAACACATGAGCGAAAGTAATTGCGAGCAACGTCGATCGCAAGCCAAGGTGCGTCGATGATCGAGTGAGAGAGAACAGCAGCCAAGGGCCGGGCAGTTCTGTCCTGAGCAGTCGTTGCACCAGGCGGTACCCGCAGTGCAATGCAAACAACTCAGGCGCAAATGGGGAAAACAGAGGCACAGCAAGAACCGAACCTTGGAACGCAGGAAGACTTACCCAATCGATTGTAGGACATATTGCGTGGCCGTCCCGAGATAGCCTCCCTCTGAAACTGGCGACCGCGGGAGATTAAATTAAATGCTATTACCCGTGATCACAGCCGTGATTTCTGGGTCGCCGAGGCCGTCGCCGCGCGGCACTGGAGCTAGCACAGCGAACAACAATAGCTGGAGTTCCTGCGGCCGAACGACAGCAAGCTGCAGGTGTATACGCCGTCTTTCCAACGACGAGCAGACGAGAAGGAGAAAAGGAAATAAGAAGAAGAAAAAGAGGATTTGGCATTCAGCGCCCCTCTGCTGGGCCACCATGGTAATAGCCCTTGGATGCGCCACGAGATTCACAGCCGCTGATGTGGAGGGCCGCGCCGGACTGGCTGACGGGCTCCACCAAGAATAACAATCCTCAGCTGCGCGGGAGCTCAGATCAACCGCTGCGCCCGCCGACGCTGAAACCCGCGCTGTCTCGTCTGCTGCTGGTCGGCGCCAAGCGACGCAGCGCATACGTCACTGTCCTGCATCCCAGAAAATGCTCGTGGTTCCTTCGAAGTTCCTATCCTCCGTGCTCGGTTTGCAGAGAAGCAGCCCTGCGACCCCAGGAATGACGCTGTGCGCGAGGGCGGCTCGTTTGGCGGTTGCCTGGGCGTCTCCAGGCACCGTTGCGATCATGTGTGGGCGCTAATCAAGTGATCGCCCATCGTCGGGCCAACCATGGGTCCGCGGGGCTGAGCAGCCACTCGCCGCGCCCGCTGCGCCTCCAACGCGCCTCCGCATATCAAGGCGAATTAACCATCAACAGTCATCATGTCGCTGGAATAGCCATCTTTACTCACCACGTCGTGGTCTAACGCACTGTCGCTCCCAAGTATTACCCCATGTCCTGGTTTTGTAGACTGACGCACAGCTCCGGCTTGTCCTACGTCATATCTTATAGCCATACAACCAAACTCACCTGAACGTCAAATCTATCTATGAGAACTGTCTATTTATAACTGGCTTACTATATCAGTATATCAGCCGTCTATATTCCATATGGACTCTATGGAATGCGATACTCATCAAAGGACCTCAAAGTTGAAGTTGTTTTTTTTTTAAGTGTAACGCGTTGTAACAAAATCATTGCAAGATACTGGGCCAGTCTTTTCTGCATATATATTCTTCAATATATTCTTCAATGCTAGTTGTCAAAACATCGACTTCAAGCTGCATAAGCATATCACATCTTCCAGTATCAAGTACTGAACAGGAGGACAACCATTTTGGGATCCTCACTGGATCACCGATATCCTACTCAAACTCGACCTGTTATTGAAGACTCACGGACCTCCCTGGCCAGAAGACTTCCATCCAGAAGTCTGTTATGACAAAGATAGCATTTGCTCCCTCAGTCTCGAGCGCTTGAACTCTTGCTTGAGACGGGTCACGCATAATGACGCCAATCTTCCAGTCAGAGAGGTTAAAAAAATATCTACCACTCTGCCAGCGCAATATAAAAAAGCTCACACCGGGGTCCTCCCTCCCGGGACCCGCAGGTGCTACGAAAACCCCCGCCTATGCTATGGCGGGCAGGGATTTTACTATCACTGTTCTTTTTTTTTTTGAGATTGGGGCCTTTTGGACCCAGAGGGACTCGAACCCAGGCCGTTCATCTGGATGTTAGTAGGTGTAAGAGACTTAGGCTACTTAACCACTGCACCATCGCAGCCCGCGTTCGTTACTGGGTTTCTTTGTTTGCGAGTGATACGCGCCCTGGAAGGTAGGTTGCCATTGGCTGGGTGAGACTCGTCACTTAGAAACTTTCAATCAAATCACTGTACTGTCTAACATGAGGGCACAGTCTTTCGATTGACTGGCTTTCCTGGTTACAAGTTTACCAAGAATAACGATCAAACTAGACATGTTGACTCTGGAGATACGATTCTTGATGTCCTCATTGGTCCAATTTGAAAGAGCTTACAGCTGTCCGTACCTCTGTGTGCCTAGCGAAACCGTTCAACTTATACTCTTGAAGTCTGTTCTTTATTATATGCCGTCATCACGCAAACAGGCCTCTCGAAAACGGCTAATCTTGGCCAACACTGGTCCTTACATGAATTTCAAACCCAATACTACATGTACCTACCGATGCAACCAAAACATTTTTCCTTTTCAGAACAAGATTTGCTTGCAAATAAGAAACGAAATCTGCTTTGGAAGAATACATGCGATCAAAAGTGTAGGGAAATTGCATCGAAGCCTGATTTCTTTGGACGAGTTTTTGTGACAGTTAGTACATGTAGTTTAGAGTGAGACCAGTGAGCACATTCTTTTTTAATATTTTCGATGCTTTTCATTTCGCTTTAATTCAACGCCTCATTTGTTTCTGTATATCTATGTCTTGCTCTTTAGTTCCAAGTATGGCCATAAAGTTACCTATTCCGTAAAGTCAACCAGCGCACAGACCACTTCACTATCGATAAAGACTTGTGCACACATCCCACCTCTGCAATCCAACATCTCCCCGCTATAAAGAAAAGTAGGGTCATCTGCTTATTCTTAGGGGTACAGACCCATCTGGAAAAGTGTTCCTAAAAATTCACCAGTCAAGAATTACAGTGAACAAGTGCTATCATGGCCAAGGCAACGGCATCCTCGACCGCGCCGCCGGCCTCGGTCCTCTTCGTCTGTCTGGGGAATATCTGTACGTTGTGCCACCACCAAGTTTTCGAAGCAGAATATTAGTCGCATTTACTAACAGATCTGGCCAGGCCGTTCCCCCATGGCTGAAGGCGTCTTCAGGTCCATCTCTGCTCGCCACGACCCCTCTCTGATCGGCAACATCGATTCCGCAGGCACGGGCGCCTATCACGAGCTTGACCCCCCGGACTATCGCACCATGTCGACATTGCGCCAGCACGGAATCACAGACTATAACCACTCCGCTCGCAAGATCACCAAGGACGATTTCCGTAACTTCGACTACATCCTCGCCATGGACAAAAGCAACCTACGGGACCTGCTGCGCCTTCGGGATAGCGTCGCACGATCGGGAGGGACACAAAAGATCGCTGAAGTGAGACTGTTTGGAGACTTTAATCCCGACGGGTCGGTTAACTCTCGAGTCGGCGGCGGTGAAGAGGTCGAAGACCCATACTATGGGGGTATGAATGGGTTCGAAGAGGTGTACCAACAGGTTACAGAATTCTCGAAGGGGTTCTTGGCGTATTTGGAGAAAAAGAGGGGCAGCGCTGAGGATTGATTCATGAGCTCAGCGTTTTCGGCGATTCCATTACCGTTATTTCTTTTTTTATTTTTATTTGATATAAATTACGTTATCATCTTCTATATTAGGTAGATAGATGATTCCCTTTATAGATACCCTTTTTTATAGATGGGATAGGGTCAAATTTAAGGTCTGGATGGTCGGGCACATACAGAATTTCACTTCGGATACCATACTTGCAGTCGCATACTGCAATCTGAGCTCTTTGTAATTCCAATTGATATCAAGTTATGCCAATGACAGAAATTGTTAAGAAAACATGAGAGGTATCTTAATGTATGCTCTGAATAAGGCCTACACTTGGATATTTGTGTTCCTTCTGATTGGTGCCAATCAAACTTAGGTCAACTCGCCAAGCATTTATTCTGACGGAGTACACGTGACGGGGTTTTAGGCGCGCGCACATAACCTTTTTTCAACTGGCTCACTGCGTTGTTTACCTAACATAGACATCGTCGATATCCTCTTCCTCACACATAGCGCATCCCAGACCACTACAGCTGACAAAATGCCTACTCGTCTGACTAAGACAAGGAAACTGTAAGTCTTCACTCGATCCCTTGTTTAGTTGGTACTAACAATACCAGTCGCGGCCATGTCTCTGCGGGACACGGTCGCGTAGGAAAGCACCGCAAGCACCCCGGTGGTCGAGGTATGGCTGGTGGTCAGCATCACCATCGTACAAACCTGGACAAGTTTCACCCAGGATATTTCGGTAAAGTATGTTACAGCCCCAAACATCTCGCCAGAGCGGTCGACTGATCTACTCGAATTAGGTCGGTATGAGACACTATCACCTTCTTCGCAACAAGGAGTGGAAGCCAGTCATCAATCTTGACAAGGTTTGGAGAATCGTTCAACTCAATTCCGATTTCTAATGCTCACGCGGAAAAACTGTAGCTGTGGACCCTCGTGCCTGAGGAGACGCGAAACAAATATCTGTCCGAGAACGCCTCCCCGGATACTGCTCCCGTCATCGATTTGCTCTCTTTGGGCTACGCCAAGCTGCTTGGCAAGGGTCGTCTGCCCAACGTGCCCGTGGTGGTCAAGGCGCGATACGTCAGCAAAGAGGCGGAGCGCAAGATCACCGAAGTTGGTGGTAGAATCCAGCTTATCGCGTAGGCTGTCATTTGGTTTTGGGAAGAGGATTTGAGCCAGAAGAAAACAAAAAAAAAAGAATGATACCCATTTCTGCTTGCTTTGGTCCGCCGGCAGGACCATCAGCAGCAGCGGCAGCAGCAGCAAGGCATTTTTTCAGCGTGGTGGCTGGGTAATGATTCAATCGGAGTTAGCTTTAGAGCTCTAGTCAATTGAATCATTACCGAACAAACCAATGCGCGTTTCCCGTGCATTCATTCAAGGGCGCCAACTTTTTTGGTCCCTTCGTCCAACTTAAGGACGTCTGCTGCCTTGGTCATTGATTAGCCGGATAACGTCCATGGGGTGAATGATGCTCTACAAGGCATCCGCGACAGCGAAACTGCGCCTGCGATATTACCGGGCAGATTCTCAAACGGAATCACTGTCGCTTGGTAGGTAAGTATTACCCACCCACTTTATTTATATTTAGGCTCTTGTAAAAAGACCCCCTTCCCTTCTCCGTAGATCCAGTGACGCCGCGCGTAACTGTGACGGCTCGAGCAAACTCCAACAAAGTTTGCGATGCCAATTTCGTGGCCATCACATAATCTCGGCCCTGCCTTTGTTGTGGTCGCCGAGTTTTTCCGGAAGTTGGAAAAAAAAGTTCAGGAGCAGACAGAATGAACAGGCACATTCATTCTGTTGTGCAACAACGTATGTAACTCCATCTTCTCGTAGTCCTTTTTTTTTTCTTATTTTTTTTTAAACAGCGTTAGCACGTGACTACATGCATATCCACAGCAGCAACAGCCAAAACTATCAAGAGTCAAAACAAGCGTTTGTGCTTGCAATGCGATGGCTTTGAGCTGTGCTTCTTGACCTGGGAAGAACCCCAGAGAACTGTCCCTCGACTGTTCAAGTTCGTGATTAACAGTTTACAATGGTTGATATCCTTCCGTGGGAAGAGGACATATTTATGACAGTCTAAAAGAGAAATCTATTCGTACACTCAAGAAGCAAACCTTGAAAGAACGATATCGTACAACAACTAGCAAGGGTGGGTGTTCACGCTTCATATCCGTTCGCTTATCTTGATTGCAGCTCGGCACCCATATCGGATGATGTTAACCAGCGGTTCATATGGCTTGGCTTCCTTGGAATCGTTTTCTACTGCATGGTCCAGATGCTCCAATTCCTCGTCTCGGGTCTTTCGCAACAACGCTACCAGATCCTTAAGCTCGTCGTCGACCTCCTCGCCGCGCTGCTCAGCCTCCTCCATCCACCTGAGAATCTCGGCCACCTGCTCGTTGTAGTGAGAGCCGATTTCCGTCTCGACTGCTTCTGTACATGCCATCGCTGCTTCTCGGCCCATAATACCGGTGGACCAGCCCAGGAACGTGGCCGCGAGCTCCCAGATCGGATACATCACTGTAGGCCGGACGCGGTGCTTCGCCACCAATTGGTTGAACGCAGAGAAATGGCCCGCTTCTTGGTCGTACATGTGCTTCATCAGGGGTCGCAGATGAGGATGTGACCGCACCACGGGCGGCGTCTGAGCGGCGTAGATGAGCGTCGCTGCGAGTTCACCGGCTTGGTTGACCCGAATCGCACTATCCAGGTACTCTCGTTGTTTTTTGGTGAGAATGTATCTGGGTTTTCCTGTAGACGTCTTGGGGACTGCTTCGGAGCCATCGGTTCCGTTGGATGATGTAGACGGTGCGGAGGAGAAGTAACGAGATGAAGGCGGTCGCGGGGCGGACGGGGCTAGGAAGTCCAGGAACAAAGGAGCCGTCTGTCGCAGGGGTCGTCGGCTATGTGTAAGGGCATATCTCCGAAGTGACGGTAGGGCCTCCATGGTGACTGGCGGAGATGAATAGTGAATGGCATTCGAGCCAAGTGACTGACAGGTGAGTGAATGAATGACTTGCGGCGCGATCTCGGATCGGAGCTTCCCTTTGCAAGTTCCGCCAGCTTCCAGTTATGGGAAAGGAAGGAGCGGATAGCCGCGCGGCTAGGGTGGCGTCTTGGCGGGCGCGCGGTTTTCGAGGCGGCTTCTAGCCCGGAACGTTATGAACGTCGCGCTGTCGTTGTCCTCTTCACCCAACCCCTCGTCCAGGCATTTTGCCCGCCATCATCCATCTTCTTGTCGGTTGATAGCGCCCTATATTATTATATTCTACTCTGTAATCTGCAATTCTAAGAAAAATATACGATTTTTAGTGCATTGTACGGGTTCTGGCGGACTGGAAACCTCTCATTTCCTTGTTCTGACGGCTTGTTCCCCTGGGGGGTCGGGGAACTGCTGCGAATCGCATTTGCTGTGTCATAGACCCGGATAAACTGGGGACCTGAGGCTCCGACTCGCTAGTCATTCACCATGGCTGACTTGGATGATGAGCTTCTTGCTTTGGCGGGAGACTCTGAAGAGGAGGCCTCCCCCCAGTCACAAAGCAAGTCCAAATCTGCTTCCCCTCCCCCTCCTTCATCCTCCGCCAAGCAACCTTCTCCAGATCCAGCCCCAGGGATGGCGCGCAAAGGAACGGCGAAGGTCGTTAAGCGACCGAGGAAGGCGAAGAAGGACGAGTCTGAAGAAGGCGAACTGTGAGTTTTCGGCTTTATCTGACAGCTTTCGCACCTCGTGGGAGTTGCTTCCTAACATGACTTGTGCCGTACAGGTCTTCTGCTGAGTCTCGTCATTCCTTGCAGTCAGCCAGCATGTCTGAATCCGACTCTGATGCCTCTCCACCCGACGTCGAGGAAGATGCGCCCATCTTTCCCTATGAGAAGCTCTATTACTCGGCCAAAGATAAGGAGGAGATTATGGCACTGCCAGAAATTAAACGTGAAGAGATCCTTTCCGAGCGTGCCCAGCAAGTCGATCGCCACAACCAAGATCTCGCACTCCGTCGTCTCTTAGCTTCTCGCGAACGTGAACAGGCTCGCGCAGAAGCAAAGAAGAACAAGCGTAAAGCCAGCACAGCCGATATAGAAGATGGCCAACGCAAGAGCACGCGCCAGAAGACCATGCTGGGCGGACGCAAGGTCGGTGAAGCGTCGGGCGCCATCGAGGCGTACAAGAGGCAGCGTGAAGAGAAAGGGAAGCGCGATGAGCTTCGCCGTCGTGATGCATCGGCTCGGAAGGCGTTGCGCAGGAGCTCATCGCATGACGAGGATTACTCTGATGCTGATGCCGAGGGCGAGAGCGAGGCCGAGTATGATCACAAGGCTGATCGCTCTCCACCAGTTCCAAAGGACGATCCGCCGGCAGATCTCAAGGACATACAGCGTGTGCGTGTCGGACGCAGTAACTTTGCCCAAGTCTGCTTTTATCCCGGTTTCGAAGAAGCTATTACCGGTTGCTTTACTCGAGCCAACATCGGCCCGAATAGGGAAACAGGCCAGAATGAATATCGTGTTTGCATAATTAAGAGTATGTTCAGGCACATTTCCGTCCCCGTGATGTCGAACTAAGTTCTCTACAGAATTTACCGAAGGTCGGCCTTATGCCATTGAAAGCACAAATGGACGTTCCTTCGTCACCAATCAATACGCTCTTCTGGCACATGGAAAGGCAGAGCGCGAATTTCCATTCATAGCTTGCTCGGACTCTCCTTTCACCGAGGTTTGTCACCTGTGATCTTACTATTCATTCTTCTTAGCGCTAATAATTCTATAGGCTGAATATAATCGCTGGCGTCAGACGATGGCCGTTGAAGAATGCAAGATGCCCACAAAGTCGATGCTGGCTGCTAAAGTCGTTGCTATCAATAACCTCATCAACCACCAGTTCACCAAAGAGGAATTAAATGAAAAATTGCGCAAACAAGGATCCCTGGACAGCAAGATGAGAACTTGGAAACGCCTCGAGTTGGAAAAGGAGTTGAAGCAAGCTGTGGCAGACGGAGACGAAGATAAGGTCGCCAAGATCCAGGCTGAACTCGCGGAAATTACTGGTCCGAAGCTTGCCTTTGGAACTAGTCTCTACAAGCCCCGATCGGAGCAGCAGACCCAGGAGCAACGTCTTGCTGAGATCAATCTTCGCAACCAGAAACTCAACGCTGAGAATGTTAGGCGTGCACAGCTTGAAGAGAGAAAAGCGAACCGCAAGATTGCAGCTGCGGTGGCTCGTGGAGAAGCTGTAGCAGATCCTTTCGCTCGCGTAAAGACTCGAGCAAAGACCCATCACGATGTCAATGCAACCAGCCGGGCTGCACCCAAGAAGGACAATGTTCCCGATGGTGGTAGTGCCAGTGGCAGTGCCTCACCCGCGACTGGATCTAATACCCCTGCGAAAGTCGATACCCCTAGACGCAGCCAAACTCCCTCCGGTAGCCAGACGAAGTCCAAGGGTATCTCGGTTATCCGTCATCAGAACATGGATGACGAGAACATTGCTGCCCTGGACTTGGACATTGATATCGAGATTTGATCTCGGACGCTATCGATCCTGGACTATGTGACAGCATCTCGGATGCAGATAAATTCGCAAGATACTGCTCTCTGGGCACTGCGGTCTCATTGATGGCCTACGAGTCGTATTCTCCTGACGTGTAATTACAATAGGCCGTCAAATGCTATTGGGGTTTGCTTAAGTTTGATGAGTTTTCTTCCATCTTTGCATGTCACCGGGCTTGTCTGCCTTTCTTTTTGTACATTAATGCTTGCCGACTAGATCGATATCCATTATGAACAGGGGAATAGCATTGAAGGGAAAAGGGAGTTTGCGTGTGGCGCCTGGGTTTGTTTGTAAATCATCCTTCAATATGGGCTTAGTTAGGGTTGAAAATGATCAGTTGACTTCAGACGCGACAGAAATGCTCTTACATATGTAAAGCTCGGCCAGTTTCTTGGCCCTGATTTACAGTAGTTACGGGGACATTGTCTACGGAAAGGAACATGAATTAAAACCTGAGAAATTGCCCTGCTTAAAACACTTTAATTAATCATGTTGTCCTGGTCGATAATCTTATCGATCGTGATATCGGCACGTGATTTTGATATGATGTGGGTCCATACTTCACCGGAACGGACTAGCGCGTCTCTCACTCAACGCGCTGCCGTTCCCGCGGCGCGTCTTCCGCCCGCATCCACATAGCAAGAGAGGGCGGGAGTGCAGTCGCGCCCTGCTTCATACCTATATCTAATCAACCCTGCTGTTCTCTCCTGTCCGCCTCAGAAAGTCAGCAGTCTGTTCACTACTATTATGTTTATGACTGTATTTTTCAATTGAACTTGAATAAGTTTACTTTTGAACCATGGCTTCGCCTTCTACCCCTCGGTCGACGCGTTCCGCGTCCCTTGGGAATGATGACACCGCTTCAGCAAGTGGGAATTCGCCGGAGATTCTCACGCCCGGAAGAAAAATTAGGGCTATGCTTGCCGCCTTTGACAGTGATTCAGATTCGGATAATGGCGGTTCTAGCAATGTTCATAGGCCATCAATTCCGAAGCCTAAATTGAGTCCTAGACGCGCACCTGGAGCCGAATCAAGGGCGGCCGCCATCAGCAAGGAGGACGAGGACGACGCTGACGAGGAGGAGAGCATTATTGTTCCCAGGGGCCGCATGGCAGCTCGAATGCAAGCCGAACAACAAGAAGAACGAGAGCAGCTTAATGGAGCAGATAAAGGCGAATCGGCATATGAGAGGGTAGCTAGAAGGTTGCATGCCGAATTGCAGGAGACACAGCCTCCCCAGACACAACAGCAAGAGTCCTCGGATCAATCATCAGAAGACGATCTGCCAGCGACTGGATTTGGTAGACGCCGTTTGAAAGGGATCAAATCTTTCGATGATGACGAGAAGTCCCATCGGTCACCATCTCGCGAGCGTTCAGGTTCGCCGCTGTTTGTCCCATCTCCTAATAAAGATGACGAGGAACCAACGGTTCGTGATGAAGACGAAGATCAATCCGAGCCACGCTTGAAACCTAACGCCCGATTCCTCGCGCTGGTCGAGCAGAAACGCAAGGAGAGAGAGGAACGGGAGAGAATCGAAGCGGAGAAGAAAGCTGCGAGGGCGGAGCAGATGAAGCAATTCAGCTCTGATATCCTGTCCGACGAAGATAGTGATGACGAGTCAGGCTCTGGACGGAAATTGACCCAGCAGTCCTGGCCGCCGCGAAAAGCCAGTAAGAAGGCGATCGAAGAAATGAATCGGGAAACGCAGAGGATAAGCAGGAACATGCAACTGGCACACCAGGCCAAAACTAAGAAGAAGATCACAAAGGAAAGTTTCTTTGCCCGGTTCAATTTCATGCAACCCCAGAAACCTGAGACGACTGCGGGACACTCTTCTACAACCACCAGCTCGGCTCCTTCGTCTGATGCGGAAGGACAGAACGAAAATACGACACCGCCTACTTCTCCGGTCCGCGAGGAGAATGAGAAATCACATCCTGGCGCGCAAGAACAGACGGAAGAGGTGGGCGATTTGCCCTCGATGGAAGAAATCATGACACGGCAAGCTGCACCACAGGAACCAGTCACTGTTGGACGCGTCGAAGTTTCAGGGCCTACGGCTACTTCAGCGCCAGAGCCTGCAACGTCAAAACCGAGGCCTGAACGCAAAGTGCTCACCAAGCCGCCTGTCCGTGTCCGAATCTCACGGCAGGATGTTGCTCAACACCAGAAAGAGGACTCAGACAGCGACTTGGAAGTCATTACTTCTCCTGCCAAGTGTCGTCGTATCGCCGTTTTTGAGAACCTCCCAGCCAGACAAGCCCAGGAGCCGTCTTCGTTGCTGAAACTAAAGGCTTTGGCACATCTCACATCCCCGACCCGACGCAGTACATCAATGAGTCCGGCTGAACTTTCTGCCTCCTTATGCGAACAAGCGAGGCGGCAAGCAGCGAAGGAGAGAGAAGAGAGAATACAGGAGCTGAAGGCAAAGGGTATTATTATAGAGACAGCAGAGGAGCGTGCTGCCATGGAGGATGACGTCGAGGATCTGATGGAAAAGGCAAGGAAGGAGGCTGAAGAAATTGCGAAGCGGGAGAAGGCTGCCCGTGAGAAAAATCACAATGACGACGAAGACAGCGAGGAAGATGAGGACTATGAACTTTCAGGATCCGACCAGGATGAAGACGGTGAGGAGGCCGATGATGATAACGAGGAGGAGGAAGACGGACAAGATGACGGAGAAGATGATGATGATGACGAAGAAGAAAACGAAGGGGGTGAAGAAGACGAGGACCTGGTTGATGAATCTGAGGATGAGCGTACTGAAACCATGTCATTGGAGGCCGAATCCGAGGTGCTGGCACCAACAGGCCCCCGAAAACGCCGTATGAGAGTCATCAGCGATGATGAAGACGAGGAACAAGAAGCGAAGACACCCACCAAATCAGTGGCTGAGTCTTCAAGCACCCCGAAGCGGCCCCAATTCCCTGATATGTCAGCTTCCGATGGTATCACAATGGGTCTGACACAAGCTTTCGCCGGAACTTTGGGCGATAATCAGCCAGGTGATAGTCAGCCAGACAATGGGGAAGATTCTCTGAAACTGCTCCGCACCCTACCTGATCCTGGCCTTCCTGTTGCAGAGGTGTTAGCACCCGACTCTCAGGTGGTGGTCAAGGACAGCCAGGAACAACGAAGAGAGTCCATTGATCTGCTTGCGGGTTATACGCAATCCGATGCCCGCGTGTCAGAGTCTCCTGCACCAAACAGTTGGTCTCAGCCCTCACAGATTCCTGATCCGACTCAAGATGTCGGCTTCGTGCTCTCACCCTTTGACCAGACGAAACGGTTCCTGGACTCCCCTGCGTCTACTATAGAAACTGTACTCCTCCCTCGGAACGAATCTCCATCCAAGGAGAAGCGTGGCCGTTTGCTTCGCCGGGGACGCCCCGCTCAGCCGTCGGACGCAGAAGATGATGATTTTGAGATCAAAGCGAGTGCGTTTGATGTGATGAGAAAGGCAGCCAAGAAGAAGACTGCCGTGCCTTTTGATAAATCTAAGAGCAAAGCAAAAGAACACATTGATGAGCTTGCCGAGGAATCAGAGGATGAGTACGCTGGTTTGGGAGGTGCGAGTGATGACAGCTCAGGAGAGGAAGACGAATATGACAGGGAAATGATCAACGACAACAATGAGGAAGTTGTCGACGAGAAAGAACTTGCTGCCCTGAATGCGTAAGTGCTTTTTTCCGAGTGATCTTTTCAGATTTATGTGCTAACTCCCCTCCAGCGACCACCAGAGAGCCATGGATGAAAAACAAGTCAACAAGCTTCTCAAGGACATCACGAGTGGAGCGCTTCGTCGGAGACGTGGAGCAGATGATGGTCTGGACCTTGATGACTCCGATGACGAACGCATGGCTCGCAGGCGGGAAAAACGACGAGAGTTTGCCAGGATGCGCAAAGCGCTGCTTGCTGATGAGAAGATTGGTGAAATTGCGAGCAACCCGAAGACGCAGGCCTTTTTCAAGGCGATCGAGGACCGAGATTCGGAGGACGAAATGGATCTTGACTTCCTTGATGAAGGTCCCAGCTCTCAAGATCAATCTTCTCAAGACATTCAGCAACAGCCCTCGGTGAATGAGGCTGCAGGATCTGGAAGCAACAAGCGGAAACGACCGCTGGAGCCTTCGGCAGCTGACATTGCCAACCGTCCTCCGCCTCATCTTCGTCGCACTGCAGCCAGCGCGGTGTCTAAGAAACCCACAACGCTTGCTGAGATCCGCGAATCAGTGTCTTTCTTGATCGAACAGCCGGAATACGACTCTTTCCATGAGGATGCATCTATCGAGGAGGAGGAGCCTGGCAACTTGGATAATAGCGATAAACCGTCGCATGAAGACGAGAATGCCAATGCGGAAGGAAGAACATCTACAGACGGATTCACCATCCCCCCGAATCCCCGACGGACGCGTGGTCGAGTCGTGGACCGGCTCGCTCTCTTGCGGGCTGCTTCTTCCAACTCTGCCTCTAGCAACGGCAAGGTTGCGTTCCAGTCTACGTCGACTACGGATGGCATCCCTAAAATCGGTTTCCGACCGCCGCCCCTCCGTCGCACCATCACCGGATCGTCGTCTTCGTCATACAGTTCGATATCCTCGGGGTCTAGTTCCACCACTCGGACCACAACGGCTCCGCCCCCAGGAGCATCGAACGCAAAGAAGGGGGCTGTTAACTACTACACAGCCGCTCGAGAGCGTGAAAGAGAAAGGGAACTGAGAGCAAAGCAACGCGGAGGTAGTTCAAATATTGCTGCACTGTTGAGCAAGCAGAAGGCCTCTGGGTTGGGGGCACTGATGGGTCAGGGCCAGTGGGAATGATCTTATCCCCGGTGACGAGATGGAAGTCCTGTGGTTTACTGCGCTGTATATGGAAATGGTTTGTTTTCTGTAATTTGGTGGTGATTGATGGGTTTGGGACCTTAGGCAAAGGCGTATGGGATACTAGATTTGGATCGAAGTTAAGGATATGGAGTTGGTCGGTGTATTTAGCTGTAGGGAATCTGGTATAACAAAGGGTCTTCTTCTGGGTTCTCCTGTTTCCTAGAGTTCATTTCATACTTGTGAAAAGATGAACAGAAAAGGCGAACAAAAGTGAAGTGACTTGAGGTTCCGGACTCTCAGTTCCAGCCTCATCCAGGCCTTGTCTGCTCCCATACAGTCTGGGGTAGCCTTAGCCCTCTCCTCAACTGGCTGGCCAGTAAAAAGTTACCCGCCGAGATTTCAATATGGGGCCTGCTCACTTTCTGTGCAATCAGAAGCTACCTGCTGAGATTCAAGATGCATGCACCCTACCTGGTATGGTGCAGCTACCCGGATTCAGCCTCACATGGCCTTTGCGTGGACTTGGTCGGGCTTTGTTTCTTTCTATCCAGTGAGATTTTACCTGCTAGGTTTCAATGTGGATCCTGATCTGACTCTGAAGTCTGGTGTGATAAAAGTATACATCACCTTGTTGAGTCACATGATTAGGCACAGGTGTTCCTGACTCCACACTCTGGGATGATATCACAGCCGCCGCTGTAAATATATATTGATTTAAACTTTCAACATTCTATAACACAGACAAACATTGACTCTTATTCGTAGAACCTTACTCAATCTGAATTTTTGACATTTTATACCCTTTCCAGCTATATATAGTGGTCAATTGAGCAGACAACTTTTGCGGCAGCTGCTGCAACTTCACTCTCCAGCATCCTCTTTCCATGCGCGTTCTTTCTCCTCACTGTCCTCGCAGCATTACCCATGCACACAATGCCTGCAAATATGCCCGAAGAACAATGATAACCAGACCATACTCGACGAACAGTGGACCTGAACTCTCGCGTTCCAAAGCTAGCCCACTACGGCTACTTGTCCTCACGTTCGACGCCTTCTCCACCCTCTTCCATCCGCGTCGCCCTGTTCCTGAACTATACACCTCTGTCGCGCATTCATTTGGATTGCCACCCTCCGTCGTCACTCCTACAAAGCTTCAGAGCGCGTTCAAGGAGGCCTTCAAGGCACAGAGCAAAAGATATCCCAACTATGGACGCGAAGAGGTGTTGCGTGGACGGTATGGCGGCCCTCGAGAGTGGTGGAGTGATGTGATCCAGGCGAGCTTTGCCAAAGTCCTAGGAGAGGATAATGGGAAAGTGGCGAAGCTACCGGATGGCATGGTAGAGTCTCTACTGGACCTATTTGCGAGCCAGAAGGGCTACGCTCTGTACGAGGATGTTGCGCCTCTGTTTCGGAAGCTGTCAGAGTTCAAAAGAAGTGCTGTCTTTGACCGTGTCATCACTGGGGTAATCTCCAATTCTGACGACCGTGTCCCTGCCGTGTTGAAGTCCCTGGGTTTGAAGGTGGGTGATGTCCGTGCAGATCAGGGTCGATCGAGTATGGAATTGCCAGGATTCGAAGAGAGGAAGAAAATCACCGGGGAGGCGGAACTCAGTCAAGACAATAATGATATTGATATGATCATTACGAGTTATGAGGCTGGTGAAGAGAAGCCGCACAGGCTGATCTTTGACGTTGCGAGGCAACAAGCGAAAGCCTTTGTTACGACTCATGATCTGACATTGCCATCTGACATTCAAGGCGACCGTGCCCGGTGGTTCTGCATACATGTTGGAGATGACTACGATAAGGATTACAAGGGTGCTGTCAACGCCGGATGGGACAGTTTTCTGCTCCCTCGGGACGGTCATACCCCCGAAATTGAGCAGGTGAAAATGATCAGTACGCTAAGTGACTTGATACCGGAACTAGAAAGATATGCTAGCGATTGATCGGAGGAACGAGCTATATATCAATTTAATATGCTGGACCTTCTCGCCAGATATTTTAAAGAAAAAAAAAGACGGCATCCACCGCAGTCCAGCGTGATGGTCCGGAGCATTGCTGCCGCGCGACATAAATGCCGGGAATTGCCGCTTTGCGAGTCCCAGGAGCACCTGGAACTGTGTCCCTGATGTGATGTATGTTTCTCGAGATTGTGGCCGTGGGCTTTCGAGTCCAAGTTCGTATCCTTCTATGTAACTGCAACCAGTTCACTCGCGTGCAGCGTGCTCGTGGAATACGCCGGTATGTTTCTCCATAGATGGCCCTCGGTTCGGGGTATCGATCAAGCACGAAAGTTCGGTCGAAGGTGTATAAGGATCGTGTGTAGATATGTACATTGCTTGGGGAAATGCTAAGTTGAGCAGATGCTCCCTGACCAGACATCATGCCTGTATTGTCAAAGGGCTGAACATGTACACAGAAAAAAAAAAGAAAAAAAGAAAAAAAAAGAACGTGCAGCATAATCCTCCCCTATCCTATCCATCGCCACTTTCTTGGAGTTGCGTGTCGTAGAAGTGAAGAGCTACTCACTCCCACTAAGCGGCTCAGACCTCAATTTGCAAAACCAACACCAGCTCCCACGACGACCTAACAGTTCTTCGTGTTGATTTTGAAAGTATCCGAAATGAGCTGATTGAATCGGGAAACTTTCGCGGAGAGGAAGCCGTCGTCATGTGGGGTCACGCTTTCCCAGATTGAACAATTACAGTCACCTCATGTCGCCGCTTAATTCATTTCAACTGGGACAGTTGCGCCCTTCGTGCGCTGTAAATCACCATGAAACATGCCAGAGCATGTCTTGAGTGCCGCCAAGGGAAGAGAAAATGTCAAGCCTCGAACGAGACTTCCTCTTGTCACCAATGTCTTCAGAGGCACCTGCAATGCTCATGGCAGCGCAGGCAGTCCAAGAAGGCCATATCCATTTTACTACCGTCGACGACGGTTGGCAAGACTAGCGATGACCAATTGACTACGGTTCCATTGGATGTATGTCGCGAACTCCTGGAATTGTATTTTCGTTACATTCACGACAAGCCTCATTCGCTGTTTCATGAAGCTTCCTTCAGAGCGCAAGTCGAGGACGGGGTGGCATCAAAGCCGGTGATGTTTGCAGTATTTGGTTTGTCAGCAAGGTGAATATATGGAAACGCACGGTTTATCTTCAAATGTGTTTCATTGTCTCCTTTTTTTAAGACATTCCCGTCTGAACTTTCTGCTTCGTAACAGGTTTTCGGCTTCCGAAGATATACGATGCCGTGGGAGGCAGTACACAGATCTTGCCAAGACGCTTCTCAAAGCTGACATGGAAACAATCTCTCTGGAGAACATTCAGGCTTGTATTCTGGTTGGAAATCTCTGCCTCGCCGATTCGAAGCCGGATGCAGAATCTTTGTACTTTGGTGCGTCTTCGTGAAATTGATTGCTTATCCGACTATTTTGATACCTTGTGATGCTAACGCAAGGGCTTAGGCATGGCTATACGGATGGCGCATATTCTTCGGCTGAATATTGAGTCGGCGTCGGATAGCACTATTCAAAAGGAGGTCAAAAGACGAGTCTGGTGGAGTCTCTACATGATCGACCGGTGGTCCAGCGCAGGTCTGGGCCTTCCACGCCTCTTACACGATCTAGACCCTCAACCGAGTCTCCCAATGGATGAATATACGTTCCAGCGGCTTCGAGTTACCGATAACAATTCTGAGCCACACGTTCAACAGCCGGGGTTATGGACGTACATGATACTGTTGGCTCGCATATTTGGTGCCATTCAGGACCTCAACTGGAGTTTGGCCCAAGGAGCGATCCAGGACGAAAGACATGTGGAAAATCTTGCCTTCGAATTGGCAGGTCAACTAAATGAGTTTGAGCGAAACCTACCGCCTCATGTTCGATACTGCCGTGAAAATCTGGTCGCTCATGCAGAGAAAGGACTCGGAAGGACATTTGTGGCCCTGCATCTTGGCTATCATCACTACGCCACATTGCTATACTTCCACTATCTCGATGTTTCGAGACCGCAAAATACAGCCGGAATTGCCTACGCCGAACGATGCCGATACCATGCCACAGCGTTTAGCGACCTACTCACAGCTTCAACTGAGATGCCAAACTGCGAAGCGCTGTACAACATTGTTGGCCATATGACCATCGTTTCTTCGTCTGTTCATGTTCACACTCTACTTTTTGGAGACGAGAAAGAGCTGGCATCTGCAAAGAAGAGACTTGAGTCCAACTTCAAGGCCCTGATCAAGCTAAAGTCGTACTGGAGCAGCGTCGAGTCAATGGTAAGTAAATATACGTGGATCTTCGTGCTGTGTGCCGCACATGTGTGTTACAGCCACTGAACGAGATCTAGATCAATCGTCTCATGATTTTTCAAAATGCCTGCTTAAAGTCTGCCAGCAACAGTACACACAAGGTTGACAGATGGATGGTGAAATATCTCCTCCAACACGCCTTGGTCCTTGATGAGAAAGACGCCTCTTCTGAGCTTCAAGGTTTTGCAGTAACCCCGGCAAACCTTCAGTCTGTTTCTCTTGAAGTTCGATACCGTGGTGAAATGACGCACAATGCTTTCCTGGAGCTGATTGGATAACGATCGCGTCTGAATAACGCTCGCGTTATCTGAATAACTACTTTTTATCCTTAACAAGTTCTATGACAGTCATACACAACTTCCCACCACCGGAACTTGTTCGCGATTAGAACTTGGCTCGAGTCATGCAGCAGTCTGAAACTCCATATTGACAGTCTATCTTCTACACGACCTCGAGATGCAGCGATTCCGCCTTGTTTTGCATTTTCTCGTCAACAGCCTCCTTTCCGGCCACATCCGCATCTTCGCCGTCAAAAAGTCGAGCAATCTCTTCAAGAGTGGGGCCTTTTGTCTCGACGAAGAGGAAATAGATACACAAACATTCCACGACAAGGATGGCGATATATACAAAATAAAATCTCCAAGCAAGATGCTGCAGACCGATGGGGTTTACTGTTCAGAACTTCACAGTTAGCACTGTGAAGGAGTGATTTTGTGTATGTGTGTGACATACCGTATTGGTTAAACACACTCGAAGAAGCAGTAAGTGCAAATCCGAGGGATAGTCCTTTCGCTCGCTGATTGTGGATGTCAGCACCAGTCTTCTCAATGAACAGGTCGTCTGGTCTCCCTTACAATGCTAAAAGGAAGGATCTCAGAAGTATATGCAACGGTCAACCCAGGCCAGGCAAAGCCAGCCACAAAATAAAACAGGAATATCATCGCAATGACTGCACCTCCTGCCCCCTTATTCCCTGTTTGAGCATAGACCGCAGAACAACTATGGGAGGGTTTATTTAGAACAGATCATCTCCATGAGGTCTCTTGACTTTACTTACCCTGTCCATATACTGAAACTGACAAGCATGCCAACACCAGCGATCAAGAATAGCTTGCGCCTTCCAACTTTGTCCACCAACAAGGACATCAAAATTGCCACCAAGAAGGACCAAATTTGGAGGCCACCATTAATGATCGACTGATCACGCGAACTCTTAACCCCGACCGAAGTGAGAATATCGTGAATATAATAGGATACAAGGCCATTGCCGGAGCATTGGGAGAAAAAAGATGTCAGTGCAATCAAGAGCAGTCTCTTCCGGTTTCCGGCTAGAGGATCATCAGATCAGTGGCTGTCAATAAACCAATCGATAAATAGCTGTTCAACTTACGTTTCTGAAGAAAGACGAGCCATCCATTTCTTGAATGCATCCTTTCCAGCTTTATCGTTTCCCTTATTTCCTGGAACTCGGCTCGAACATATTCATTACTGTTATCCCCATTGGCGTGGTACTGCGACAGTCTTTTTGTTAGCCCAGGGTTGCTAAAGAGTATTGTTCTGGGGATTGCGGCCCGCACTTTCACAAGCACTGCGAACGCTTCATCAAGTCGATCCTTCGAACAGAGCCAACGAGGGCTTTCGGGCAGACAAAAGATGAGTGCAAGTTGAATTACCGGCATGGCCGCTTGAACTGCTACCGGAATTCTCCATGATGCGTCGCTTGTATATCTTTGCGTACCGAACACAGTCCATGCAGCAACAATTGATCCGACAAACCAAAGTGTGTTGTACATTGTTGTCAACTTCCCGCGATGCTGAGGGTACGCCAGCTCGACCAGAAGGAGAGGAGCGGATCCTTGAGCTAGATTGGACCTGAATTTGAAGCAAAAGTCATCGGTAAGTTCTCCTCTTATACCTGGTTCTTTCTGAAAGTGAAATACAAACCCTAAGCCAACCAAGAAACGACCTCCAATGAACATTCCTGAATTTACTTCGGGGACGACTTGAATGATAGTACCAACTAAAACTATCAAATTGCCTACCGCAACGCCGATTCTGCGTCCAAGGGTATCGGATATGACCCATGCTGTCCGGGCAGGAATTAGCTAGGTACAGAGCTCAGCTGAGAGAGTGGACATTTGACTTACAGAACAAAAGAGCAGAGATGGCGCCAATATTCATGATTGCAGTGAATAACCCGAGACGAGATCCCGATGGATAATCAAAGTCTGCGAGGAGAATGGAAGAGTTCATTTCCGATGCATTCATAGGATGTGGCTACAGATGGGCCTCCGTCACTTACATGCTTGCCATGTATCCATTGTCTGCAACCCATTCAGGAGACTACCATCATATCCGTTGATGGTAGAGCCCAGGAAGAGGATGGGCGCCATAAAATACAATCGTCGAAGCCCTGGGTCTCTCCACCACGTCTTTTGCGGCAACACGAGCTCGCCAGTCTGCTCATTGTAGGCAGGATTTTGACGAGGCACGACTACCTCATCCAAGTGTTTAGGAGCCATTTCTGGTAAGAATGATCGAACGTCTTCGCTCAGCTTTCTTGAACAAGAGTATAGTAAGACGGAAGAATGAACAAGTCATCAGCTGACGCAAAGACAGAAGATTGAGACCAATTCGCTCCAGATGTATTTATATATGCATTCTTCTATATATAAACGCCAATCGCCAACCAAAACAGGATACTCTGTGCGAGTCTGAAGCATAGTATAATGCATATATCGACAAATTAACCGAACAGACCATACTCCAGGACCAAAAAAAATCTACGGAAATTCTCCCCAGCATTTACCCCAGAAATACTAGCATTCGGCGACTTCCACATGGTCCAGAACTTTAGAACTGAAGGGATCCACAGCTCTGTCTCGATCTCCGGCTTATCAGCCAATGGGGTTTTGTCATTCCCGGCGCTGGCTAAGCTGGTCCCCCGCAAAAACGTTGATTTAGATCGAAGCTACGGAATACGGATTATCCCCGCACTGGGGGGAAACAAGAGGCTAGAAACACAGATGACATGGAATGGGAGTTGGTGAGCAGCTTGTTCCCTTTCCCGAACTATTTACGTATGTTAACTCAGTTGAAGTTGCACCGAAACAAAGTCTATGTCCTATTCAGGAGTCAAGCTCGTGGGAAATTTACCGTCACAAGGCACGTGGTTATAATAGCCGGTCTTTGATTGAATCGGATCGATTGATTTCCGGTTCTCCTTTGTCGCAATGAAATAGCGTGGTGGTTGTTCTTCTTGTGGGACCGCCTGCGTGGTTTATAATTCGACCACGATTAATACTACATTATGAGATAGCGGGGTTAGTAGCTTACATGCTAAGTAGTAAGTCCCAAGAAAGAGTATAAATACCCCATGTTGCCAGAAAGAAACCATAGTTCTTTGCACAAGTACTGCTTTAACTTGGGGTTTTCCTTTCTTTTTTTCTCTTCCGACTCTCTAGATAGACTGAGAATTCCAAAATATATTTATCAAAAACACCATGTCACAAGCAATTCCACATCTTCAAAGGAATGCCGTCAGCCATCAGCTTTTCGTCAAGGGAAAACCCTTCCTCATCTTGGGCGCGGAGCTGCAAAACTCCTCCATGACATCGGCCGCCTACATGCGGACGGTGTGGCAGAAGCTCGTGGACATGCACATCAACACCGTCCTGGGCTGTGTCTGTTGGGAATCAATCGAACCGATCGAAGGCCAGTTTGATTTCACCAAACTGGACCAGGTCATTTACGACGCCAGATCGCACCATCTCCACCTGATCCTCCTCTGGTTTGGGTCCTTCAAAAACGGTCTATCGACCTATGTCCCGAGATGGGTCAAGACGGACTACAAGCGGTTTCCACGCATGCATATCAAAGCAGAAGATAGTGGTAACAGCGACAGTGACAGTATCAAGCTGCAGACAGCCGACGTCCTGTCCATCTTCCACACCGAGGCCCAGAAATGTGACGCGAGGGCGTTCGGGGAGCTCCTCAAACATCTCAAGCAGGTGGATGGCGACCATTCGACTGTCATCATGGTGCAAGTCGAGAATGAGACCGGTCTGTTGGGCGATTCTCGCGATCGGAGCGCCGCGGCAAATAAGCGATTCGCAGAGGATGTTTCGGCCGATCTGCTTTCGTTCTTGGAAGAGGAATATGACACCCTCCATGAAGATCTAAAAGAGAATTTGGAACATTTCACCAAATACATCAAGTCTCCGGTGGAAGAGCGGAAGTCCAAGTCGTGGGAGGCAGTTTTTGGTAAAGGCAAGCATACTGACGAGCTTTTCATGGCCTATCACTATGCGAAATACTTGGACCAAGTTGCTGCTGCGGGCAAAGCAGAATATCCGATCCCGTTGTATACCAACGTTTGGCTGAACTATATGGGCAAAGACGGTGATAACGATTTCCCGGCTATTGTCGGAGGAGGTGGTGACCCAGGTGATTATCCTTCTGGTGGCGGGGTCAGCAAAGTGTTGGATATCTGGCAGAAGTTCGCGCCAAATCTCGACTTTATCTCCCCAGATATCTACCTCAATGACTATGTGGTCTCGTGTCGTCAGTACCGACACCGCAACCAGCCACTGTTTATCCCAGAACAACGGCGTGATGATTATGGCGCTCGTCGAGTCTGGGCCGCATTTGGTTCGCATCAGGCGCTGGGCACCTCGCCGTTTGGAATCGACACTCTTGAAGTCGAGGGGAATCCCTTTACCACCACATATGGCCTTCTGTCTTCCATGTCGGATATAATTCTCGATGCACAACGTCGACCTGGTTCCAGTCTGGGCTTTTTCTTCGACGAGCTTCCTCCGCCACCGTCATCACCAGATGAAAAGCAGCGACCCGACCCATCACCTCCCATCACTGCTACCTTTGGCGGCTATGAGGTGCGTATCGAGCGCTGCTTCGTATTCGGTCGTCCCGGCCCCGGCGCCGGTATGATCATCCATGCTAATTCTGATGTTCCGTCCGAGCCTCCCCGGTTTATCTTGATCGGATATGGCTTCCAGGCTGTCTTCCGGTCCCTGAACCCCAAGTCCACCTTCACTGGAATTCTCGAATTCCTTGAAAAGGAACCCGTTAAAGGACCTGACGGCAGGACAGAACTGCGGACCCTGCGCCGATTGAATGGCGACGAGACCCGGTCAGGTAGGTTCGCGATGATGCCCGGTTTCGACCCCGACTATGGCGGGTTTCCGATCTGCGTGACGATTCCGGCCCGGACGATGGTGGCCGAGGTGGAGCCGTATTCACTGGAGGAAGAGGGGGAGTTGTAGGAATTTATATTCCCACGGAGGTGTGGTATGTCTTCATTCATTGTAGGATGAATTGGATCTTTACAGTTTCCCCCTAGTCATATTCATATTCGATAGAATTTGACGTCCGTGTTTTGTGATCGATGATTATAGAAAGTGTTTCACAAGAAAGTCGGAATTTTTAGGTGTATGAAGATCCAGATTTATCACCTTATGTCTCACGAGGATTATGGTGATTATGGAGCACTCCACAAGTCTATTCTCGGCGTGCAGATCGTATGCCCGATCGAGACAAAAAGATGGAGCATTGACTATTATTAGATTAGTTCGTCCCGTCATCGGCGCCAAGCCCTAAAGCCGCGTATCCTTGCTTAGCTAGCTGCTCCTGACAAACTCAAGTTCTCAACAGATCAGATCACGACGTATATACATTACATGTCTGTACATACTTTCTCTCACTTTTTCCGGAACATGTAGGATTCTAAGTCATCGGAGATCATCGGATCATATCCATTGTATATACATAATGATCTTTTCCTCCTGTCTCGCCGTTGCTGCTCTGGCTTTGTGGAAGACTGCGAGCGGGTCGCTTGTTTCAAACAATGTGACCCTTATCAATGAACACTATGCCAATCACATATTCAACGCCATACACTCCTCGATGAGACAATGGGGCTCCTCGTGGAACCATAATGGCATGTCGTTCTTCTTGGCCACAGTGCCCAAGGACACGCTGCTCTACCACGGCTCGCACGATCCAGGGCCGGTCACGGGGATCAATTGGCTTGCCTTCGAACCAGAACACGGTTTGTTCTTTGCCAGCCCCTGGTTCGACAAAAGACGAAAGGACGGTGCGCAACAGACGGCCCAGATACCTTTGTATGGAGATACAGACAGTAACCCGCTCCAACCGGGCTGGCTCCATACGTATGCTGCGGCCGAGGACCTGCGTCTCCTGTATATAGATGGCCTCTCCGCTGCCAAAACGGGCATGGGAACTCTGGATACCCAGGACCGCATCCTGTTCAATGACAGCATCACTCAACCACATCAGGACTTGGAACGAGCTGAGCTGGCCTGCAAGCTCTTCCGGGACGATTGGGATAACCGGATCGACGGGATCATTCGCATGGAGTCCGGATTCGAAATCATCCTGTGTGATTTCGCTCGAAACCTGAGGACCGTCCGCGTCACGCGTGCCAGTCCTTATGATGCGAGAGATGGGCCTCTTCTGCCGGGTGGCACCAGGAACGACTTGTTTCGACTCTACAAGGTGATTGCATCGCGGTTTGATGGGATCGGAGGAGGTCGTGTCCGACTCAATTACGATCACTTTGTCACCGCCTATAACTACGATGTCGATCTGTTCCTGGACGGAGGGAAGCTGCCTCGACTGGCCCATCTGCCCGCTGAAGCTCTGGAGCCAATGAAGCAAGATCTCCGCAATCTGGTCATGACACATGATCCTTTCGAGAAGTCAGTCGACTGGCAAGCGATTGCTGACATGATTGTCGAGCGCTATGCGCGAGATTTGAAATATTTCGTTTCCGGCAAGCTCTCGTCGACGAGAGAACTGCATTTTGAGATCGAACGCGTTCTGCGTCCCTTTATTAATTTCGATGCAAGAGATAGTATCCGCGAGATTGAGCGCTGCGCGACGCAATTTCTTCCAGACAGCTTGCCCTACGACACTGTCGCTGCTGGCGCAGTCACTGCGGTCTCCTCCACCATCTGTACAGTATTGGTGAGGAGTCTACAGGAAGACGACTATGAAACGATCATCACGAGTCTGGAGCGTCTCATCGACTATCTCTCCTGGACCGTCTGGAAGGACTGCCCGGAGAAATGCGACTGGAATGAGGTCTGCTTCATCCCTATCTGGCCAGCAGGGACGGTGGAGGATCATGAGCATCCTCACTGTAAGGATAAGCCTTCGTCCGGAGGCAAGAGCTACTGGGACAGGCCGCCTGGCCGCCCTGAGTCTCAGGATGATATGCTCCTATACCGATATGATGAGCTCTAGGTCACAGGCTTTACCCCCTAGAGAACCGGATATGATTTGTCACGTGTGATATTTTATGATTTAGTTGCAAACCCGCCAAAAGGTTTTGGAAACGATCCTACGCTTCATTCCGCATGAGTTTTTGATGGTATCTTTTTTGGATTTGAATCTATAGATATCTACAGTAACTTGAACTTGGAATTATTTACTTGTTCTTGACAGAGGATATTGAGGCGTCTATTTTTGGACTTCCTGTTTAGGAAACAAGTGTCTCATTCCTACATGGTGTATATGTGGATTTGGCATGCCCCAGCAAACAAAGTAGAAAGAGAAAGGGACAAAAACAAGCTTAAAAACAAAAATGCTCATATAAAAAAGCTCACACCCCCCAGCCTCTGTTGGAGGGTAACTAGTTGTTATGATCTTTCTGTTGCTCAGCACAAATTCACAATAGCGATGCCTGGGGCGGTGAAATGGGATACTGCCGGCAGTATAGAAGGCGGTGATGCGTTTCCCCGCCGATGTCGCGCGTTACCGTTCTACTCGTATGTAGGCAGGGAATAATGGAACTAACTATCCTTCCATACCCAGAGCTGGACGCAATGGATAAGATGAGCGCGCGGGATGCCCCCTTTAGGAGTGAGCTACAGCAGTTCGAGTTATACTCATGCCATCACTGACTTTAACTTGACAGACTCCGTCGCCGTTCCGCATCCCATCCCAGCGTCGCGACGCGGCCTCTGCTACAGGGTCAACTGCGCGGCGGGGCCCAGGGCTTGCTTTCCACACCCCTGTCCGTCCGAACTCGAGGAGTCAATTTGCCACGACTCCTAAATTTATTTTCTCACAGAATAACACTGACAAAGGTAATGACATTGATGATATCGATGGGAGCGATCAGGACGAGTTGTCTCCATTCCTGGCGAAGCCTAGGGCTTCTTCTGCGCACCGGAGAGCTGCGCCCGGACCGGTCTTTCGTAGAAAGGATACCATTGAGGACTCAGAAGATGAAGAGAGGTTCCAGTCGAGAGACGCAAATAGGAAAAGCCTCCCTGGAGGTAGACGCGCAGGGACGGTAGAAGATGGAACAGATATTGATGCACAGTTTGATATCCTGTTTCCTCCTACACCGGATCGGAGCAAGAGACGTCGGGTCTCTTCAGCGGTGTCGGATGAAGAAGTCGAGCAGCGTCTTCCGCGAACTGCATCACCGGCAGACTCTATCCGCTCATCATCGTCTTCGGGTCCGCCATCACCATCCGCCGCGGGCCGTCAGGGTTCATCTTCACCGTTCACGGACCCCCGTCCACCAGACAGGGGCGTAGCAGCGATTGAAACTCCTGCCCCTTCTACTCACAAAACCGCCGCCCGATTGCAGACTTCTAGGCCTCCTAGCAGCAGTACAAAAACTCCATTTCGGAGCCATCCACGTTTCGTCCTCTCTGCCTCCAGCGGTTCATTACAGACGGGCTCCAGCACCCCATCCGCGACGGCGGATACTCCTTCTTCTCTGCAGCAACGGAAAAGGCCAAATTTCATCCTTCCCCGATCGCCGTCTCCTGATGCTGATGGAAATCCCGACGCTGGTTCAGGGAGTCCTCCGCCAGCTCCCTTTTCCCCCACCTCTTACAGGTTGCACCGCCGGGGGAGACCGCATACGGTGTCGCCAAACTATTTACCCGGGGGACTGGCAGCGGAAGTCCGCAGCTGGGTCCTCGAGATGGGAATGAAACGAGAGCAGCAGCAGCATCTTCATAACGTGCAATCTGCTCATCACACTAGATATCTTTTTACGGCGAGGGTGGACAGGTGCAGGAACAGCATGCTCTGTTCCGGCCCAATGATTCTGGTACGAGGACATCTGATCGACTCAAAACAGGATCCTGAAGGAACATCACAATCTCCGACATCTGTATCAGAGAGACCGTCAAGAAACATCCTTCTTCTCGGAGCCCCTGCTTCCAATCAGCGGACTGCACAGAATACTAATTCCCTGCGCCCTCTTTCTTTATCTTCTAGACCATCGATTGCGTTAAAGCACGGTGATGTTATCGGTGTCCATCGTGGCCTCACGTGGGAGATTGATTTAGATAAAGGATTTCTCCAGGGTCAGACAGACTACAAAACCGCTACTCAGGCCCTGTCAGACAACGATAATCGTGATGTCTCGACTTCTACCCCTGGGAAGGACAAGGAGACGGAGAAATGGCTCGTTGCGGCGGAATGGGATTTGCTTGTCCAGACATGATGATGAATTGCTTTCACTGATGAGTTTTACGATCATCTAAACGGTATTAAATATGACAGGGCGTATTGATGAGCCTGATTTCTCCACTGCCCTCAAAGAAGGAATGGTAACCTTACCTTTTTTTCCCCCTACCACGCAACTATTATACACTGTGCATGACAGGACAGCGCAGTGCGTACAACAGTGCTTGCTACTGTATCATAGAATAAATATAGAGTTAATTACGAGATGAGAAACTCGAGAAACATAAAATCCGAACATTTCTTGTTTGAATAGTTCATCTACCTAAAGCCAAGTCATGGTTCTCTGTCTTTTATAACATACCCTTCGATGCAATAATATATAGTTCCCCCAAGCATGCAAAGTATATAGTACCGCGGGCGGCAAGTTGCAACAAACACCCAGATAGACAACATACATGCATACACACATGTACAAGAGTATGTATACTACGCAGTATGCAGCACATGCAATGCAATACAACAAAAATAAGGGCAATAGAAAAGATTACGCGGAGCCATCCCTCAAAGCATCAAGAGCCACCCGACACCCCCACTTGACGAGTTTCCGGTCCTTTGCCGACGAGACAATGTCCGTCTTGGCCACGACCTTGCGGAGGAAGTAGATCAGACCTTTCACGATCTGCGGCGCGGCGTCGTGCGTCCGATCAAAAATTCTTGCGATGGGTTTTTCGTCTCTGTCCTCATCATCTGTGTTTTCTTCCTTCTCTTTCTTCTTCTTCTTCTCTTTCTTCTTTTGTTTCGATTTGCCTTTCGCCTGCGTTTGTTGGAAGATGGTGATGATGAGGACCTCGATGAACGTGCTCGTTTTCGGCTGCAGGTATGCGAAGTTCAGGTTCTTGAGAATGGAGAGCGTCAGGGTCCCGTCCGCGACGAGACTGGCATACATCTTGGCGAGGTTGACGATAGACTTGGTCGTTAGCTTCTGGTTGTTGCCGTCCTCGTCGTCCTCGTCGAAGCCGTTGAAGGCGTCGCTGTCGTCATCGTCGTCTAGGTCGCCCCGTTCGCCCATGCGCTTGAAGACGTCCCACAGCGTGAACTCGAAGGACTTCCTGAGCCGTCGGCCCCCCTCGCTGCACACCCGGCGCGCGATCAGCGTGTAGTACGGGTTGTAGGCGTCTTCTTCCATGGCGCAGTGGACCAGGACGCGAGGGATTTCATACTCCTGATTGCGTTTGAGGTGCAGCTTCAGCAGCCGAACGTGCGCGTCGCGATAGTCAGTGGCGGACATAATCGCGACAAAGATGGCCCGTCGCACGTCAGTGTTCATACGGTGGGCCTTGGCGATGTTGACCAGGTCCGGTTCACCGTCGCTATCTTCGATCGTAGGGGCAGCTACAGGAGCTGAAGGAAGGCCAGCAGCGGACAGCTCCTGACGCGCTGCTTCCAAAGGATCATCCTTCCAACTTGCGCCTACTAGCCACCATTTCCCTTTCTTCTCAGCGTTGTGGATATCCGACCGTGAAATCCTGATCGGCTCGGTGGCGCGGACGTTGCGATTGTTGAGGGAGCCGAGAATCTTGCGCATTTTCGTTAGATGTTCCGACGCAAGGCTCGACGCCGCAACTCCCGTCTTCATGCGGTTGTTCTTCAGGTCAGTTATGGTTTCGATCATGAACTTGGTGCGGACAGACAGCGCTTCTTCTCCGACTCGTGCCACAGCAGGCTGGATTAGGAGAACAATATCCTTCAATGCAGAAGGATCGTCCTGTCTCAGTTGGGGTCCGGAATCTGCAGCAATCGTTAGACTATCATAGACAGGAAAAAAGAAAGAGAATTGGGTTCAAGAGTTGTCATACTTCTGATGATCTTAAGGAGATACTCGGTATTCGTCTCGGTGATCTCTTGGAGGAACAGACGAATATAGTCAAAAACCAGATTGCTCCCAATGACGTGCAAATTGTACAGTTGAGACAGCAGCGACATCAGATTGATAGGCTCTTTTCCTTCGAAAGAACCTCTCTCATCGCCGTTCTTGTCAAAAGTCTCCACCAGTCTCTGGATGAACTCGGCACCAAAATCCATGCCGATGATCTTGTATATCGCCGCGATGAAACCAGCGTGAAGGATGATGAACGTATCCTGCAAGGCAGTTCGGTCGCAGATGAGACCAAGTAACAGTGTTGTCAAGGTCGACGTGACGCTCTGTCGTGGGTATTCGCGGTAGAGTTTCTCAACTTCCCCGAGGATCGAGATGAGATTCGACTCGGACAGCTTGTTTAGCAGCCCTTGAGCTTGTCGTCGCAAGCGAACCTCATTTTCTGACTCTGAAGCGGAGGGCGCACGGAGGGACGGAGGAACGTATTTGGTCCGACTGCTATCACCGTTCACCACGGGAGGAACGTAGGGATTCTCGCGGACTTTTTTTGGGTGGACTTTTCTTTTCTTGCTTTTCCTCATCCTCATCCTCATCCTCTTCTTCTTCTCCTTCCTCCTCCTCGTCTACTTCCTCTTCCTCGTCACCCTCATCCTCATCGTCGAAACCAGCAAACTCGTCGTCTTCGCCATCGACGTCAACGTCGAGGTCCTCGTCAATATCGTCCATGTCATCTCCCTCGCTCTCGTCCAAAATGTCGTCTTCGCTCCCAAGCTCCTCTTCACTTTCCTCTTCATCCTCCGACGGCAGGCCTTGTGCCTTTCTCCTCTTCCTCTGGAGCCATTCATCGTTTTCTCTCTTTCGTTTTCTGCTCTCCTCTTCCGAATCTGCATCTAGATCACCTAAAAGCTCGGCTAGACCTTCTTTCTCGAATATTTTGGGCAGCTTCTTGCGGCCTCTGATTCCAAGCTTTCTCTCCAGGGCTGCGATCTCGGCATCATCCTCTGCTAGTTTCTCCTGGACAGATTTCGGAATCTGGCGAGCTGGCTTGGGTTCGGAGCCTTCATCAGCGGCCGTAGGTTTCGGCTTCTTCAGAATTGATTTTGGTTTTTTTGTAGTTTTTGTAGACTCGCTCTCTTCTTCGTCGGAGCTGATATCGGAATCAATCTGCTCTTCGATATCATCATCGTCGTCATCGTCATCATCGTCGTCTTCTCTGGAACTTCTGTTATTTATCGGTCTCCGTGCAGCTTTCTTTTCCCTCCTCTCAGCTTTGCGGCGCTCTTTGCGCGACGCCGGGCCATTTTGCTTCATTTTTTTCGCGCCGTAAATATCTGTCAGTCCTAGCTCCTCACGCAGCTGCTTAGGCAGCGTGGGTCCATTGCTTCTTGGGCGCGGCGGCATGGCGTCCAGGACCAATGCTGTATTCTTCTTTGGACAGGACTGTAAGACCCCTCTGCGGTTACTTTTTCAAAATTATTATGCCGCCGAAACTTTTGCGGAGCGGAGGCGGAAGAGAGAGCGGGTGGTCCGAGCTTCACCACTTTCTTCCCCACTGAAGTAACAGACATGTGTGCTCCACGCCACGATACCCAGATCTTGACTTGAAGTCTGGATTGCCTGGAGGTCAAATATTTGAAGATCCCTGTGTCTGTTTCCATATCCGGAGTCGCACATCGATTACCTTTCTGAAGTCCTGGAGCACAAGCGATAAGTCGCACAATCAATCTATTTCGCGGCCGTCGAATACCTATGGCGCCGCACCTGAGCAATGACGAGGTAAGCCATCTTAATATCCCCTCTCACAGCTTGAAACTCCTGATTCATTATTGATTCATATCGCCTATTTTATATTTGCACCCATGCTAACCCCAATTCCTCTCCGTGGCAGTTCTTCTCGTCCCTCTCCAACCTCCTCTCCACCGTCTCCCAGAAATCTCGCGGCTCCGTCTACCTGAGCCAGAAACGGCTATCTTCCTCAGCAGCAGCAGCAACAGCAGCAGCAGAAGGCTCCTCTGCAGCCTTTGCGCCGGGCTCCATCCTCATCCGCGCGACGGACGGCAAGACCGGGAACCCAAACCCAAAAAGCGAGTCGCCCAACAAAAACAGCAAACCCTCCAAAGTGAAGATCTCGACCATCGTTGCGCCCAACGACCTCGAAGCGTTCTATGCCCGCTACGCGGAGGTGTGCAAGGCCGGGATGGCGGGCTTGAAGAAGCGCGACAGGAAGAAGGGCAAGGCGAAGGGGAAAGCTCAGTCTAAGGTCACCAAGTCTTGATTTGATTTGATTTTTTTTTACGAGTTGTGACTTGTACAGTGACTCGAGCAAAAAGGTCCTTTTTTTTTCTTTTGTCTTTATGATATGAATCATCTGCTCATGCATCGGTTGGAGTTTGCGGGCGTTGTTGTATTCTTTATTCAAGGGGGGAAAGGTATTGATTGTTGCTTGCAAAATATTTTTCTAAGGGATATACCGCGATTGAGAATAGAGTTAGAGTATTCTTTATAAATACTCTTACGAGTTCACTTGCAAAAGAGTATTATGTCAAATTTATTAAGCGATTAGTGTAACTCATAGTTTGTTCGATAGTGTATTAGATACAGCTTGAATACCTCAGGAATCATTGCCATGTCGGTTTCATGGCCTGCAAAAGTCATCTCGATGCGCCTGACAAGGAAAAAGGAAAATGTGATACACGCTAAGAAAACCCGGAACGACGACAAGTCCACACCAACCGAGACGTGTAAGTATACATGCAATGTGAGATTATTAAAAAAAAATAATACCTCCAAGAACGTGTGCCAGCCACGTTAGTGCTTCCACGAAGTGTAATAGAACAATAATAAGCATAATACAAGGACCAAACGAGTGGAAAGGCGCAGCGAAGATCATTCACTCCAGGTCTTGTGCATCAGCTGCCATCCTCTTGACGGGACTGGCCGGGTGTGGTAGGCACACCGAAGTCGTCCTCAGAATCCCCATCATCGTCAATGAGGCTGGCCTTGAGCTTTGGACTAGAGTCTGAAACGGCAGACTGCAAAGTGTGACCTGCTGCGATTCGTGCCGCAATATGAATGAGCAACAACAAAAGCAGGATTGGCGGCACAAGAACCAGTGAGAAAGTTTTCTGAAAGATAGTGACCGTCAAATTTTTCTTCGAGTCTTTTTCCGCCGGATAGGACAACGTAGAGGGAGGAGGCATAGGAGAGAGCTCACGTTTCCTTAAGGCGTTCAGTGGGCGGAGAGTCGCTGTATTAGTGTCGTTGACATTAGCCTCGCCGTGTGCGACATTCACACCGGTTGCTACGGCATCTGACGACTGCGGAAGAGAAGGCGACGCCGAGACGGTGACTGGGACAGGCTCTGCTCGAGTCTCCTCAGCTACGCGGGGCTCTGAACTTCTCCTCTCCAGAGTCGGAGTCGTCTGTGTAGCTGAAGATGTAAATTCCGGAGTAATAGTTATTTCTGATATTTCTCTGTTGTGGCGACTGGAGCGCTGACGAGAATACAACAACTCAGTGGAGCTTTGGTCTGTGGGTGACGATGGTGGAATTGTGGAAGGAGGCGATGGCGGAAGCGGAGAGACAGGGGCCCGGAACGAGTGGAACGATTCCGCACTGGAAGAGAGAGTTGCTTCGGCCTCACTGTCTGATTCAGGTATGGGCTGGGATCTCGCAAGTAAATCGTTGACAGACCGCGGTGGTTCGGTCACGCACCGCTTCGGGGATCCAGGTTTGAAGTCAATGTCAATCGGCGCAGAAGGCTTAATGTCGTCAAAAGGGTTGTCAGACTCCGAAAAGGTCTGATTCGTAGATGTTGATGCACTGTCATCTGTTACATTTCCATCAGAGTAGCCCGCACTCCGTGGCCGCTGCGCTGTTCCCTGAAGATAGTTTTCCCCAGGCCATTTCAGCGTCTCGGCGGGAGCACTTTCTCTCCTTTCCTTCGGCCGCCAAGCCTTCTTTTTCTTCGGAGTCCTGGCTTCCACCGGTATTTCGACGCTGAAACCCCTTTGGAATGGGCAAGGGGTGACTTCGTAGAGAAGGAATTGCGACAAAGCATCTTTGAGTTGCGTCACTCGTCGCACATCCTCTTCTGTCTCATTCGGCAGTTCAATGCGATAGTAGGTCAGGGCGCGGATCCGTAAGACGAATGTCGACTTTCCGTCAACACACCAACATTGAGAGTTCTTCAAAATTGCTCGGACGACAGTTCCGCACTTGAGAAAGACTGTAGAGCCGGGAACCTGCTCAAGTATCAGACGGCCAACGGCAACTGTTCTCTCCGTCGGTGATCGCCAAGGAAGGGTCTCTATAGTATCGACGGGATAGTCGAAGTCGGCAGATGATGGGGTTGACTGGAGCTGTCCTGGAGGAGTCTGTGGAGAGAAATGAACGATTTTTGCAGATGGATGCGAATATAACACTTTGTCATTAGCATGAGAGGAATTGGAAGCTCCATTGGAGGCTGTATTTGGCGAGATCACTCTCGAAGGCAAGGTCGCGGACCGGCGAATCGGCAATTCAGCCTCCGTATCAGAGGGGGTGGGCATTGTTGACGACGAGAGAGAAGGAAGGACAGCATCGAAAAAGCAACACTGGAAGATTAAAAATGGATGGGCGACATATTATTACAGTCGAAAGCTGAACATGGAAACCAAAGAGCGACTGGTAATCGCCATCAATTGCGAGTTGCGCAGGCAAAAGTCGCAGCGGGGGCTCCTAGATTGACCGCCTTAGGCAGGACGGGCACATGACGTCGCGGCCGGGCCGAGAAGCTGAGCGCGTGACAAAGCCGCGAACCGTTTGACATGTTTGTCTTGTCTGTCCGGTTTGCATCTCTATCTGGACAATGCAACACGGCAGGTGCGAGTTGTCTTATGAACTTTTATTCCACTTACAGGCCGTTGAAATGCCTTGGTGTTCTAATTCCTGAAATCTCTTCTGTCGCTCGTTCCTTGCATCATGTCCAATTTCGAACCTAATGCCATCCTGCGCGGAGCGCAGCTCACCGTCGTGGGAAGTGCGTTGAAATCTCCCGGCTGCATGACCCTAAATTAGCATGAGGATTTACTGATGTGTATTTGGTCAGCTCTTCGAGCCCTCGGTAATCCTGAGCTTTTTAAGCACAAACATTTTCGCCAGGCAGCACTTGCTGTGACTGTGGGCATTGTCATTCATTTAATCGTCCAGATTCCGGTGGGTCTCTTGTCCATGAGCATGCCTTGAAAGTTACCTGATGCAAAAAAAAAACATAGATCATTGCCATCAAGCTCGTTATCTGGGTTGCCTCCTTGGTTTCTGACCTTGACCATGCCACCTGGGACGACAAAGTCATAGGAGGACTGGACTTCATCTCGCACTCCGTCCTCCAGGTTCCGTTCTTACTGATGACTTTGATGCGATATATCACTCCAACACTCGATGAAATGTAAGGAATTCCAAGTGGTCTGTCGTGTCCGACACCCGGCTGATTGCTGCAGCTTCATGGAGTCGCTAAAGTGGGTGGACTCGACTTACATTCAAAAGCATGAATCGGAAGATCCCAGAGTCCTTCGAGCGATGTACTATCCGAATCTCGTCATGTACTCCACCAAGGGCACTTCTGGGCCTTCCGGCACATCCAAGCCGTTTCCACAGGCTCTGATGGCTTTTTTTAATCGATACTCTCGCAGGGTTGCATTGTGGCTGGGCATATACGTGCTTTCCCTGCTTCCTGTTGTTGGGCGATTCGTGATGCCCGCAATGAGCTTCTACACATTCAAGAAGGCAGTGGGGATTGTTCCAGCGGCGGTTATTTTTGGATCAGGGCTTATCCTACCGAAGGAGGTTTTGGTTGTCTTCTTGCATTGTTACTATGCCTCACGGAGCTTGATGCGCGAGCTCGTAAGCAAATCCTCCCTCATTGGCGGTTTCTATTGTTAGTACTAATTAGGCTTGTTGCAGCTCGAGCCCTATTTTTGTCGCATTCGCTTTAACAAAGAGCAGAAACGAAAATGGTTCATGGACCGTGAAGGTGTCCTTTTTGGATTCGCATTCGCCTTTACCATGCTTATCAAGATCCCACTCATCGGGGTTCTGATGTATGGGATTGCGCAAGCATCGACTGCATACCTCATCACCAAAATCACGGACCCGCCACCACCACCTGCACACAGTGAGGGATTTGCGGAAAGTCAAGTGGCATGGAAAAACAAACATCGCTTCTTGCAGTTGTCATTGGACAACCTGGACCAGTTCAACATCAAAACTAGCGAACCCGAAACTGGCAGAGGGGAGACGAGCATAAGCCCGGGAAGGAAGTTTCTGTAGAAACCTAAAATAAAGTCTTTGGAACGTGGTCATTCTCAAAGGTGTCTTCGAAATGAAAGGTCAGGTTTAGGACCGCCTCGCTTTGCGTGTGTTGATTTGTAGCCTTTAGGATATTGTGACAAAATCCCTTAATCATTAATATTCCCCAATAGAGAGGCCTCCTTCTCGACAGATGATTTGTAAACGACTGGCAAAAATACCTACTTGCTAGACCCCAAGCAATTGATTTGTTCGTCGGGATAGAGAAATAAAATTTCCGATGCGCTGCAGATGTCTTCTTTCCTAAAATGGAAATTAGCTATCAAGCATGGATTACGTAATAATGGCAGAGCAAGAGGTGGGGACAATCTCAGAGTTTGGTTTCCACCAGATAAATAGACCGTTCAGAGCGCCAGACTATAATAACTTTTACAAATATTTTCTTTGCTCATTATATCTATTCTCGGAGCAAAGGGATTCCCGGATCTGGCAGTGCCCCTCAGAGGACTAAGGACCCGTCGAACGCCGGTCGAGATAAGAGACCAGATCCCGCTGATAGGCGAGATAAGCCGGCAGCTTACTTAATGTCGCGTAACAACAACAGCAAGCCCTCGTCTCTCCCCTCCTATGTCGGATAGGATGCGGGGTAATCATGATAAATATTATGGATGGGCGAAAGAGGGGAGAAATGTGTCTCTCCTCACCCTCAGCAGATTCGACAGCCTGTCGCGACATCTCTGATTCTCGACTACAGCGGTCCTTCCTGGCTCTTCTCTAGACAAAATACCGATAATTCAATCGATACGATACCAAGTCTGTGAGCATTTGACCTCGGCTAAAACGTACAGGACAACATGGGTGTCAAGGAGATACGTACGGTTGTGAAGTGCGACTTCAGTAAGCCCGCTTGGGAGCAACCAGGGTTCCATGTGCGTGTTACAAAATATGATAGTTTGAAAAGACTCAGTGGCTAATACTAATATTACAGAATCGATGGCATCCAGATAGTATGTTTCTCCGTGCCAGTGAAGTATTTATATTTATCCATACTCGAGAAATTTTACTTTAACCATGAATCCAGTTTAATAAATTTGTCTCTATAGTTCCCGCCCACGCTACCATCGCCAACAACGAGGTGGTCAAGATCGAGTGCTTCGACTGGACAGGTGGACAGATCAAGAACAACGACTCAGCAGATGACATCAAGAATGTCGATCTCACCAGGGTACACTACCTCTCGGGGCCGTTTCACATTGAGACCGCTGAGCCAGGCGACGTCCTACTAGTTGAGATCCAGGATGTTCAGCCCTTCCAGGACCAGCCATGGGGTTTCACCGGTGTCTTCCACAAGAACAACGGCGGAGGGTTTCTGGACGATATTTACCCTGAAGCGTATGTTATCCGATGAGTACAAAATACCTAGTTAATGAGCTCTAATTGTTCTGACAGCTGTTCTGCAGTGCAAAAGCGATCTGGGACTTTGAGGGAATTTTTTGTTCCTCTCGACATATCCCTCACGTGCGGTTCCCGGGCCTCATTCACCCAGGCATTCTCGGATGCGCGCCCTCCGCAGAGATTCTTGCGGAGTGGAACCGACGAGAGGGAGAACTGGTCGCCGCCAACACCCTCAGTCGCGATGTCGCGAAGCTGCCGGAGCCTCAGAATGCACATGCTGGCGGCGCCAGCGAAGAAATCAAAGCAAAAGTGGCTCGAGAGGGAGCGAGGACAATTCCGGTATGAAGACACTAACATCGTGCCCCTCTCACCCTTCGGGGAGTGGCCACTCTTTGAGACCTATCTATTATGGCTAACCTTGTATATAAAATGTCTAGGGTCGCCCTGAACACGGAGGCAACTGTGACATTAAGAATTTAAGCAGAGGATCGAAAATATACCTGCCCGTGCATGTCCCCGGCGCGAAATTCTCCGTTGGAGACCTGCACTTCTCCGAGGGAGACGGCGAGATCTCCTTCTGCGGTGCCATCGAGATGGCGGGCATCATCACGATCAAGTTCACCGTGATCAAGGACGGCATGGCGCAGATGGGCCTCAAGTCCCCCATGTACCTCCCCGGTCCCGTGGAGCCACACTTCGGTCCAGGCCGGTATCTCACCTTCGAGGGCTTCTCGGTCGACGAGCACGGCAAGCAACACTACCTCGACGCGACGGTCGCCTACCGCCAGACCTGCCTCCGGGCCATCGAGTACCTCCGCCGCTACGGCTACAACGATTACCAGATCTACCTGCTGCTCAGCGCCGCGCCGGTCCAGGGCCACATTGCCGGCATCGTGGACATCCCCAACGCGTGCACGACTCTGGGGCTGCCGATGGACATTTTCGACTTTGACATCCGGCCCGAGGTCAAGCCCGTGAAGATGGACATGGGCAGCTGCGCGTTTACGAGTGACAAGATGTAACAATAACTTTGATCAATTTTGTATTCGGATTGAATATTTGTTTCCCCCCCTGCACGTTTGCAGGAGAGGTGTTGGCAGTTGGAGGTATTCTTCATGATAATGCGAAGAGTTTCTGATCTGAGTTGTATTTGTCTACTCTAGGATGGCGGCAAGTCAAGTGTTCAAGTCAGAAAGAGCACGAGACAAGGTGAAGTGTTTACTTTAGGAATGTATGTGTGCAGCAAAAGACAGAGAGAATTTTTTTGACTTCCATTGACAGTTCGCAAAGACTATGCGCCGAGTTCTCCACGCTCCTAATCATAATAATGATGCCAATAAACTGTTTAGACAATGTGAAATGACCACGGGGAGCCGAAATGCAGGAAGAAATGCTGAGAGCTGAAGCAAATGTGAGATAATGCGAGATGGGAAATCAACCGCGTCTTGTCCTGTACGCAAGACAGACAGAGTTGATGTCCACCTCGCTCACGAGAACCACTTCTTGATCGTCTCCCTCTCCTTCCTCTCCGCCTCCTGGATAATCCTCTTAACCTTAGCGATCTCGTTGATGATCGCTGCGTCGCCCGGTGCGAGCTTCCGTGCCTCCTCCAGGTCCTTGAGAGCCTCGTCTTCCTCCTTCAGACCGACCTGGTTCACTGCGCGACGATAGTACACTTTGGCCTTGTCGGCATCACTTGCGTTCGCCGCTGCAGCGGTATCCAGAGCGTATGTGGCCCAGGTCTTGCCATCCTTATACTGGCCAACTTTGCTCGCCAGAAGGGCGGAGTTGGAGTGCAAGGTGAAGCGGAGAGCCTTCATCTGGGCTTCGAGCTCCTTGTCATCTTCCTCCTCCGGTTCGGGATATTCGTTGAGGTAGCGGAGACCCTTCTGGTACTTCTCAAGACCGAGTTGAGTGTCGCCATTCTTGAAGGCCTTGTTACCGAGGTCCTTGAGTTCCGAAGCAATCTTGTAGACCAGGGAGGCATTCAATTCCCCGTCGTAGTCAGCGGGGTAATCTTCGTAAGGGTCACCAGTGCTGTCCACGACCTTCTTGTCCGCGTTCTCGTAATCTTCGCCTGTCAATTCACCGCAGTCCACGATGGTCACGTCCGTAGTCGGCTTATCGGCCTGAGTGGGCATGTTCTCAATCTTCCGCACCAGACTCTTGCCGTTGATCACATGGCCAAAGACGACGTGCTTGCCATCGAGGTGAGGGGTCTCGACAGTGGTGATGAAGAATTGGCTGCCGTTGGTTCCGGGGCCGGAGTTGGCCATCGACAGCAGGAAGGGACGGTCGTGCTTGAGTTCAAAGTTCTCATCTTCGAACTTCTCGCCATAAATCGACTCTCCACCGGTACCGTTGAAGGCAGTAAAGTCACCACCCTGGATCATAAACTGCTTGATCACTCGGTGGAAGATGGAGCCTGCAACTCCAAGTTAACAGCCGCCTCTTGATCGAGAACAGGGAAAAAGGCATGCCTTTGTAGCTCAATGGCTTTCCAGACTTCCCAATACCCTTCTCACCGGTGCACAGAGCACGGAAGTTTTCGGCGGTCTTGGGAACAACTGTTGTGGGCAAGATGAATTAATTTCTAGACAGGCCATATCATGCGGGGTAGTCTGGGGCGCTTCATACTGTCATTGAACTGAAAAAACGATTAGCAGAATGCCGTAAACATAATTTAGAAACACTACATACCAACTCAAGGACGATGCGACCCTCATTCTTCTTTCCAATTTGGACCTCAAGGAAGACGCGAGGGCGACCTGAAAGACAAGCTCCGATCAGCTCACGAGCCCCGCCGGTTTGGAGGAAGAAAGCGACATACGATTGTCAGCCATGGTTGATGCAAATAACGGAGTTCGCGAAAGGCAAAAAGCAGTAGAGCGAAGGACAGGAGCAGCGAGAGTGAGTGTGCAAGAATTGGCTACAGGAGAGAGGAGGAAGTTGGAGAAATGCAGCGCGGGCGGTGTTGAAATGCCTTCTATGGAACGATGTTCAGGAAGCTTCCATTCGGCGCCTTCTTTGACTGCGCATGAGCCCGGGCGGTGATGCCCCCGCTAACCTAATGCCACCAAGGCCCACAGCCGAGCCAGAACGCGGCAGATAGATCACTATCTTAAGGCAGGTCCGTAGCTAATGCCTTTGCGATCGATTCTCAGAGGGCCAACAGCAGATGATTGCCCCACCTAGTGATCTAGGCTTCACGCAGGCCATTTGCTATTGGATTTTCCCTGTGTACCTACCGCCACCTCAAAGCCACTGTCAGTGTCTAGTCAGAGTGTTGACTTGTGTGCTCATCTATATATCTATATACAAGAATATCTATTTAAAAATTGGTGTCTATATTCGTAAGGAGTCAAGAGGGTATTCTAACGGGGATGCGGAGAGCTTGGCTTCATGTCGACAGAAGTCCTCCCGCTTCGCCATCCTGCTTGCTCTTGTCTTGCCCCTTCTCCCCTTGCCCTTCCCCTGAAGATTTGTTCTGTGACTTTTGGGCGTCCGTATTGATCTCGATAGTGACCTGAAAGACGGTTGTTAGCAGACAGACGACCATCTATTAAAGAATGGCAGACTCGAACGGAATGCGAAAAGCGCCAAGTCTTCGCTGCAGTAATCAACACCTACCGGTCCATCATTGTTCAGCTCGACTTCCATCATGGCCTGAAAGACGCCATTCTTAACCTTTTCCGGGGCGTACAGCTCGCCCATTCGCCGGTAGAAGTAGTCGTACAGTTTGCGTGCGGTTTCCACATCAGCAGCACTGTGGAAATCAGGCTTGTTGCCTTTCTTTATCTGGCCGTAAAGAGTAAATTGGGAGACTAGATTAAGATCGTTTAGTGCGACTTTCGAGAGCCAACCAGGAAGATTGTAACGCACCGCAAAGGACTTCACCCTGGATATCCTGCACGTTCTTTTTCCACTGCCAGGCCATTAGAGCTGAGCGACCAGAGACTTCTATGTGTAGACGTCGACCTCACCGATGCATTGGCGTCGTCTGGCCACAATTTCGCTTTCAGGATCTTTGCGGCGAGAGAGTCAGCATCCTTCTCCGTATCCTCCTTGCCTACAGCCGCAAGAACGAGGATCCCTCGCCCAATCGACGAGATCAGTTGCTTATCGACAGTGACGGAGGCGGATTTGACCCGCTGGAGGATGGCTGGGAAAGTTGTAAGAAATAAGTAAATCGAGATAGATGTATCAAAGGCATGCATACCTTTCATTTTCAGACTCCTTTTGAGAGGTTTAAATAGTCAGTTCCTGCTGCTTAGTGAAAACAGTCAGTGGGATAAAGATAATAAAGTATATCTAAGTAGTGAAAAAATGGTTGCACATGAAGCAATGGACCCTCTCATGGACATTGATCGTGTGCGTAAACGCTACTATTCTGGGAATAGCATACCACAGTGAACGGCTCTGTGCACGATGAGCACCACAACAATCACTATAGTAGAGACTGATAGATCATGGCACCAAATTGTCACTGCTGGCAAAATGAAGCCAACTGAACTGGAGATGTGTGTGGAGGATTTCAGAGGCGATCAGAGGATATGGAGGTATTCTGGCTTGCCATCTTAACCGGATCTCGGGGTTGAGCTGGAAGCGAGGCTCTGATTGGTCTTACGCCACCCACCTGCATCTTGGCGTTTTAAGAGCAAGGCTTCAACCACCACGAGCTCAAAGCTGTATTATTCTAACGAAACACGCAAACAACACCGCGTGGGAGAACCTCGCGAATCTTCCGGACGCGCGGGAACATTCGCCTTCCTGAGAAGTTTAGTCACACAAGTCGCCGGAACGTCGATATCGCCCCTGTTCTGCCGTCCCAGTCCGTTCTCGAGACCCGACGGTACATGTGAACAACCACCATGACATCGCGAAAGACGCAGCAGGAGATCGATAAGACCTTTAAGAAGGTCGCCGAAGGCATTGCGACATTTGAGGGCATATACGAAAAGATCAAGAACACCTCGAATACTGCGCAACGCGACAAGCTTGAGGAGAACCTCAAACGCGAAATCAAGAAGCTTCAGCGATTCCGAGATCAGATCAAATCGTGGGCGGCTGGAAATGAGGTCAAAGACAAAACGCCTCTGCTCGAGCAGCGGAGAGCGATCGAAACAGTATGCGCCTGATTGCCCCGCTTTGTGTGTGAATTCCGCTAACATGGGGAACAGTGTATGGAACAGTTCAAAGCCGTCGAGAAGGAGATGAAAACCAAAGCATATTCCAAAGAGGGCCTGTCAGCAGCATCTCGACTAGATCCCAAGGAGAAGGAAAAGGCCGAGGCTTGCGAATTCTTGTCGAGTATGGTCGACGAGCTACAGCAGAAGATTGAAGCCATGGAGGCCGAGGAGGAGTCTCTGCAAGCATCGTTGAAAAAGGGCAAGAAGGACGTGACCAAAACCAATCGGCTAGCCGACATTGCCAGGATCTCTGAACGGCATAAGTGGCACGTTAATAAATTGGAGTTGCTATTGCGATCGCTGCAGAATGGCAATGTTGAGACGAGTCAGGTCATGGAATTGAAGGACAGCATAAAGTACTACGTGGAGGATGGTCACAATGTGGATTACTCCGGCGAAGATGAGACCCTCTATGATGATCTCAATCTGGGCGATGATGAAGCTCAATTTGGCATGAACTACGACAATGATCGGGTATCATCGCAGGATACACAATCGATACAGGAGGATGAGCAGGAGGCACGAGCAAAAGCAAAAGCCGATTCAGGGCCACGACGACCGTCCAGCCAGATGAAGTCTCCCCTGCCTGTTCTTGCGACTCTTCACCCCAACTCTGCTTCAGCGTCGACGCCAAGTAATATGAAACCGGCGCCTCCGCCAACTCGTCCGCCAGGAGAAACGTTGAAATACGCATCAGCTGCTGCCGCGGCCGCTGCAAGCGACCGGAATGGTGTCGGCATTGCCCCCTTACCACCTCCGCCAGGCGCAAGCCCTGCGACCACAGCGGCTTTGCCGGTATCGAAACCAGGTTCAACGGCTTCTCCAAGCGTCACGTCTGCGCAACCGCTCCCCAAGGCAGCAACCGCGACCGCTGGTGCTGCAGATGATTCTAGTGGGCGAGCGCGAAATAAATCACCTGCCCCGAATCAAAATGCTGCACCTGCCAGCACGGCTCCAGCAGCTTCGAATGCTACTCCTGCTCCATCGACACCAGCTGCCGACAAGGGTGAGACTGCTGCTGCGAAGGAGCAACAAGTGACGAATGGAGCTGCTGCCAGCAAAGAAGAAGGGGGCGCGGATGAGTCCATCTATCACCTACCGCCTGGCTTGCAAGATTTGATACAATCCTTCGAAGCGACGAAGAGCCGGGCCTCGTCCACATCAACATCATCGCCTTCCGTTCAGAGACTCATGGCGGCGTCGCTGAACACGTGCCCAGAGCCTGGAGATGCAGAAAAGCCTCGCCATTACAAGCCACAGAACCCCTACAACACCCCTCTCTACTACCCTCAAGAACCACTACCCATCTTCGACGACCCTCGCCTCTTCGAGACGGGGAAGATCGATACGGACACCTTGTTTTATATCTTCTATTACCGACAGGGCACGTACCAGCAATATCTGGCAGCCAAGGCGCTGAAGAACCAGAGTTGGCGCTTCCACAAGCAATACCAAACCTGGTTCCAGCGACATGAGGAGCCCAAGACGATCACAGAGGAGTTCGAGCAGGGGACGTATCGGTTCTTTGATTACGAGAGTACCTGGTAAGTTAGCCATCGCATGTCAGCAGTCGAAGATGATGATCTAATGCTGACGTTTTCTCTTCTCAATAGGATGAATCGGCGCAAGGCGGACTTCAAATTTGTCTACAAGTATCTTGAGGACGAACTTTGACTTGGGCTGTATTCTTCAAGGGGGGGTATTTTGTTGGCGGAGGTAGATATCCTTTCGACTTCTAGGCTAGGCCGGACTGGACTGGACTGGACTGGACTGGGTAGGTGGACTAGGTTAGGCGTCAATCATAGCTGCTGCTACAACAATACCATTTTTTCCCGGGTTATTCTTGAGTCCAGATTCGAGATTCCCAGTTACATCCTTTTCAAGTATCAAATGCTTGTCCAAGTAGGCAGATTGGCACATTGTTTGTTGGCCACGTAGCTGCTGTAGTCATCGCTGGGCTCTAGGTCTGATCTAGTCGCGGAAATTAATCGATAGCCAAAAGATGATAAAGAGGAAGAGAGGAAGTAAAAGGCAGAGGGGGAAGACGCAATTTAGTCTGTTAGGCGTTGATAGAGTCGGCGACTAACGGGTTGGGTGTTGCCAGTGATCATATGACTCGTAGGTACCACGAAGCCGGCTATGACGTCGACCTTACTCCGTAAAATTAAGGATCTATTATCGTGACTGGCACACAGACTCGAGCAAATCAATAATAATATTCCCGACGATGATGTCCTTTGAGCGCGACAGCACTCTGGCGCGACATGGCACCGTCGATCAATCTGGCAAACGTCTGGCAACAACACCGCCCGCACGCAGACTTCAGATGCCAACCTCGTGCTGGTCTCGACGAGAACAAGCCACCCATCCAAAGCACAGCAGTCGCAGACTATTACCGGTTCATCGACTGAGTTGGCAATCCAACAACAAAACCGGGACGCCCGTTTTGCCCGCCCATTCACCCTTCCCGGGTTGACGCTCGTATATGGCGAGAATTGAAGGACTTTCTGCAAGGTCCGGCTGCAAGCGTATGCCGCCTCACTTTGATGCCGTTGGCTTGCTCTTCCGCTGCGGCATTTTGTCCAAACCGGTGAGCGCCGATGCTGGCGCGCACCAAGGCTGTGCTTGCGGCTCTCTCTCTCTCGTAGGCGAAGTTGCTAGGCTCGAAACAAGGGTCATTTAGCGACGCGGCATCGGGACGGTTGACGATCGTCCTTCGCGGTGGTTGGTCCGTCCGGGTCAGCTGAGCCCGCGATGCCCCCGACACCGCCAAACGCCACCCGAAAGCAACGAAACACCCAGAAGAGTCGGGCATTTTTGTGCTTGACCCGTTGCTGACGGTCCTGAAACGCAGGTGGCAGATGCAGGTATCAACGTGTTCAAGCGAGAGGCAGACGATGCCCCCGTTGGCCTTTAACATCTACAGTCCCCACTGATTTTCTGCCAGACTCAACACCGGTTGCACCCTGCTGCCGTCTCTCTCCCGCACTTCGACACCAACGCTGAACGAACCTCGACTCCTCGAGCGGCCTCGTTTACCGACTCGATCGACTTGGGACCCCAGTCTTAACCCGATCGGAGTCGGGTCTCGACTCTAATTGTTCCTATGACCCGGTCTTGTCATCGACGAAGAAAGAACAGGTTTGCTTGAGATACTACGTACGTACGTACACTCTGAACGTCGGCCCGTTCCGACGAGAATATAGTACAGCTCTCCCCGTATTCGCAGCTGAGCCCTAGCCATTAGTATTGGCGCCATTTGCAATGCAAAATGGGGCTATGTACAAAAACGCCTGGACTGCGATATTTTATCTCATTCTTGCGGCTGATGATAGGGCCCTTCTTGGCGTTTCAATTGCGAACGTGTGTTATGCCGTAGACAGTCCTAGTGTCCTCGATTGTGAAATCAATTCTCCGGGGCTTGTCCCGTGGAGCCGCATGCAAGTGTGTATTGGCTGTTTTGTCTGGGGGAAACGGGGTTCTCCGCCGTCAGCACTCCATCGATGATCGCTATCTCTACAGTACATACAGCAATACTACGTAACCACCCGGTGCAGAGCATTCAATGTTCCGATTCCCATTTGACCCTGGCCGATGCAGATCGGCGCTAGAGAATATATACGCTCTCCTGCATGCGCCGTCCCAACCTCGGGCTTGGGCGCCAGTAAGCATCCCCTCGGAACACCGGCTTGCAGTGCCGTGAGCCAGCCTGGGCTCTGCTGAGTCGTGACACGGCGACCGCCTAGGGTCTTGGTAATATTGAAGCCATTGAAGCCACCCTGCCCAATGGCCCTGCAGGGGTGTCTTGGTCTGAAACCAGGCCCTTTCCAATCAGACAGTGGCCACGTGAAAGCCGTCAGCGCAGCGCCTTCTAGCGGCCTTCCATGCGCCTTCGATGGCCCTGCCTAATTGACTTAAGTAACGTGGGTCCCTCGGACGGCCCTGGGCGATGCGCATCACTTTCGAGCGGAAACCGTGAGCTAGCCAAGTGATGACGGTCGAAGTCTAAGGGCGATGCGTCATTCTTT